AGTTGGTTTCATTGTGCAAACAATGTTGAACATCATGGAGTATCCTTACACAAATCTAGGTAGTATACCTAGGTAGTACGCCTACACTATATGGTATAGCCTATTGCTCCTAGGCTGCAAACCTGTAGAACATGTTACTATACTGAATACTGTAGGCGGTTGTATTTGTGTATCTAAACATAGAAAAGGCATGGTAAAAATATGGCATAAAACATAAAAAAGTGACACCTGTCCCAGGCACTTACCATGAATGGAGCTTGCAAGACTTTAAATCATTCTGGGTGAGTCAGTGAATGAGTAGTGAGTGAATGTGAAGCTACTGGGATATTATATAATGTCTACAGTAATAGAAATCTACAGTAATAGAAAGACTGTACACTTATGTCACACTAAGTTTATTTTAAACATTTTCTTTAATAATAAATTAGCCTGAGCTTACTATAACGTTTTTACTTTCTAAACTTTCAAAAATTTTAAACTTCTTGGCCGAGCACGGCAGCTCACACCTGTAATCCCAGCACTTTGGAAGGCTGAGGCGGGCGGATCACCTGAGGTCAGGAGTTTGAGATCAGCCAGACCAACATGGAGAAACCACATCTCTTTAAAAAAAAAAAATCTGACTCTTTTGTAATCACATTTAGTTTAAAACACAAACACATTGTACAGTTACACAAAAATATTTTCATTATATTCTTATTTTAAGTTTTCTTGATTGATTGATTGACAGAGTCTCACTATGCCTGGCACCTTTATTTAAAAAATGTTTTTATTTTATTTTTGCTTTTAAAGCTTTTTTGTGAAGCACCAACACACAGACATGCATACAGTTAGCCTAGGCCTGCACAGAGTCAGGAGCATCACTGTCTTCTGCTTCCGCGTCTTTTCCTACTGAAAGGTCTTCAGGGGCAATAACTGGTATGGAGCTATCATCTCATGATAACAATGCCTTCTTTTTTTAGTAAGTAGAAGAATTACACTCTAAAATGAGGATAAAAAGTCTAGTAAATACACAAACCAGTCACATATTTATCATTTTTTTAATCAAGTATTATTTACGATACATAATTGTATGTACTAGACTTTTATATGACTGGCAACACAGTTGATTTGTTTACGTCAGCATCATCAGAAATGTGGGAGTAATATGTTGCTCTAACACTACAGCTATGGTGCCACTAGGCAATAGGAAGTTTTTTGTTAATTATAATTTTACGGGACTTCTGTTATGTATGTGATCTGTCATTGATGAAAATATCATCATGCAGTGCATGACTGTATGTAATGTGTATATATGGTATGAAGCATAATAAAATGAACACCTGTGAACATACCATACAACAACCAACAGTGTAATATAATAAATTTCTGAATTATGGAGCCGTGAAACTTTCTTTCATGCTTACTGTCATGCTTACTGTCTTTCATGCTTACTGTCACACAGAGAGCTCTGTTTTCTGTTCCAAGATGGTGCAAGTTGATTACACTGTTTTTTGGTAGGTAGTGAGTAGTTGTATCCCTGTGGTTAGCTTCAAGTTTCACATGTTCAACATGAGAAAGGATCAAAGTTCTCAGAGGAGCCTCTGCTATTTCCTTTGGATTCAGTGTTCTTGACCCATGTGATCCAAGCTGGCATTGTTGAGAAGTGACCATTATTTCGATAGCCAAAATCTGGTTTATTTTAGATTTAAAACATCTCTGTTTAAATATATCAGTAGTATATTATCAGTAATAATATCAGTAGCTATGTTATTTCTTTTATAACCTGATTGACAGGTTGCTGAAAAATTCCCATTCAGAATGTGAAATGGATGTCATTTAGGTAATATATAAATATGGTGAGCATTTTAAATACATAAACTATCTGAAGAGAGATCAAGGAGACTCAGAAAAATGTCATTTTTCCATTTTTACTTACCAGGTTTCTGAAACACAGTTGTTAAAACTGGCACACTATTTGCCAAGTTGTTTTCTGAAAGTTTTCCATTATTCCTGCTGGGCATTTGGGGGTAGCAGAGGTTATATGAGTTATATCTGGCTTTTCGTGACATTGCGTGGACAAGAGATAGTGACCACATCAGAAAGGGCTCTGCTTCTCTTGGGGAAATTCTGGCCCCTTCAGAGAAATTGAGTGGAGATGGGAGGGGAGGTGACAATCCTGATATTCTGGCAGAAGAGAATGTTGCATAAACCACAGATTTGTGTATACTGCATCCATACTATTGAGTCTCTTTAGGATGGGGATGTACCTCTACTTCACGTGCAGTTAGTTAAAAAAGACATGTAGGAATTTCTTCATTCTCAGTTCTTCCTTGCATTAGAACTGAAATAACTGGGAATCTTGGGCTGTTTTCCTATGTGCCTGGAGGGTCAGGGAGGGCAGGAGATGTGCTTTTTTTTTTTAGATGAGAAGCTTTACTTTTTCAGGGAGCTGACTTGATTTCCATAGACATTCTTACAAACTACCAGAGTGCTGGTTCTGGACTGGTATATGCCCCTCAGCTTCTATACTGGGACAGAGGCCCAGGTTTGGCATGATGAATAGAATACAGGTGTTGGAGTTAGACCAGATTAATTCACTTACTAGTTCTTTAATCTTAGGTAAATTATACACCCTCTTGGGACCTCTGTTTCTTCAATGGTAAAATGGGGTTGAAGGCATTTGGTATTATGTCTGTCACATTAGAGGCAGGTAATAAATGTTAGATGCTACCATTAACACATCTCTTTATCCACTTATTCTTTTTATTCACTTATTGATACTTAATTTTCCTCATTGCTGTTGTGTTTATATTAAGCAGAATTCTAAAGGAATATCTACTTGCTGAACAGCATCTTTTTTTGGGAAAGAAATATTAACCCATTTTCTCCATCTTGTGACAATTACTGTTAGGTCTTAGGTTCCAGCATATGGGCAAATAATTAGCATCAGAGAATACTTCCTGAGGGAGGCTTTCTTTAACTGTAAAACTTACTAAAGATGGCAAGGCTGGGCATGGTGACTCACACCTGTAATGCTAGCACTTTGGGAGGCCAAGGTGGGTGGATCACAAGGTCAGGAGTTCAAGACTAGCCTGGCCAACATGATTATGAAACCCTATCTCTACTAAAAATGCAAACATTGGCTGGATATGGTGGCAGGTGCCTGTAATCCCAGCTACTTGGGAGGCTGAGGCAGAGAATTGCTTGAACCTGGGAAGAGGAGTTTGCAGGGATCTAAGATTGCACCACTACACTTCAGTCTGGGTGACAGAGTAAGTCTCTGTCTCAAAAAAAAAAAAGGGGGGCAAAAGAAGTTCGGCTTATTTTATTTTTGGGGACAGTTCTGGTCAAAGACTGAAATATTGGGAATGGAGTTGCTGAGGAATGAGTTTGTAAATAGGTCAGCTTGCCTATCTAATAACATAGAGCATTCTAGGAGGTTTTTGGAAGGAGGAGCTGTAAGAATGAGTCTGCTTAGGAGAGGATCAGGAAGGGAAACAGCAGTGAGATGAATGTAACAGGAAAGTCATTATTATTTATTATTATTATTTGGAGACAGAGTCTGGCTCTATTGCCTAGGCTGTAGTACAGTGGTGTCATCTCAGCTCACACAACCTCTGTTTCCTGGGTTGAAGCAATTTTCATGCATCAGTTTCCCAAGTAGCTGGGATTATAGACATGTGTCACCAATTCCAGCAAATTTTTTCTATTTTTAGTAGAGATGAGGTTTTGCCGTGTTACCCAGGCTGGTCTTGAACTCCCAGGCATTCTGCCCGCCTCAGCCTCCTATGGTGTTACGATTATAGGCATCAGCATCCGAACCTGGCCAGAAAAGTCACTGATTGCCCTGGGGTGCTGTGTGGTTCCAGGTGCTGTGTTGTGAATAAATGTTGGTGGGTTGGCCTTTGGAATTAGCTTAGACTCAAGGTCATATATTTTTCTGTAGTTACTAGCTTTGTGACCTAGAACAGGCTGCCCACCTGTGTAATGGGGATGAGACTGTCTTTCATTTCTAAGACTCCCCTCTAAATTGAATAATAACGTGGCAGAGGAGGGGGTAATATGTGTTCTTTTATTGGAACACTAAGCATATGAGAATTTATATCCCGCTCAAGGTCATCACCCGGTCTCATTGCAAAAATTCAAAAAATTGCAACCTCTGACATAAATAGGTTAAATTATTCATCTCTTGTATCCAGTTGTAAGGTATTTCCTTGTTACAGAAATGCTAATGTGATTTTTTTAAAAGTGCATTTTAGAAGCAAAGCAATATGGTAATACCCATCTTAGTGATGTTGGGACGATTAATAAGATAATGTATGTTAAATGCCCATCCAAGTTAGTATTCAGTGAATTGTAGCTATTAGTAATGGATGAAAGGACATGAAAAATAATTTGATTGGAGCACCTGAAGAAAGAATTTTAAACAAGAAGATCATAATGTGACTAGGAGCTGAAATAGGAAAGAGTAAAGTTCAACTAATGTTGTAGAGATAAATGACTATGTATATGAGGAGAAAGTTTTACCCATTTACAGAGACTTTGTTGTTTATAATGATAACTTTGTATATTTTCCAGTATGAACAAGGAATGTGGTAATCATGTGGGTTTGATTTACTCTCATACCATCTTCTGGGCATTTTATAATGTTTCTGAACTTGTTGCTATATAAGCTGCTAACATACACAATAAACAAAAGAAAGCATTGGCTAACTTACAGGTAAAAAAAAATAAAAAACAAGTATTTATATTTTTGTTTTGTTTTTATTTTGTTGTGGGGGGAGTGGTGGCTAGATAGGGACTTGTTATTACTTTATTAGTTCAGTTGCCTGGCCAGAAAGTTCTTTGCCTATATTTCGGACATCTTATGTTTTGATTAGAGTCATACAGAACTTTTAGCTCTTCTTTCTTTCTTTTCTTTTTGTTTGCCCCAGGTCCAGCAAGACTATGAATCTGTGTTCCAAATGCTTTGCTGGTAAGTGCAGAAAAAGGATTTTAAAATTTACTTTCATTTTCTTTTCTTCTTCTTTTTTTTTTTTTTTTGGTTGTTATTAAGACTAAATAATTGGACCCTCCTTTGGATTTATGCATGGGGTTTTGTTTTGTTAGCTTGTGTGAGAAAGCAATTTCACCTTAACAGGGTGCTTCATATATTTGCCTAGGATGGTTGAAATAGTCTTCCTTGAATGAAATCCTATCTCCTGTGTACTTGCACCAAACAACCTTTCCTTGGTTTACTGTTGTTGGTGTATAGTAGAACTGTAAAAATGCGTGGCTTTTAATGGGGTTGTAGATACTCGTTGCTCATCTTGACTTGAATGATTAATGGTTAATATTGCTTTATTAATGAGAATATAACAGAAGAGTATTTTCATGTTGGAGTCAGGAAGAGAATCACGCTGAGTTAGACACTTATCAAATCAATCGTAGAGGCTGCCATGGTGGCTCATGCCTATAATCCCAGCACTTTGGGAGGCTGAGACAGGAGGATTGCTTGAGACCAGGAGTTTGAGGCCAGCCTGGGCAACATGGTGAGACCCTGTCTCTATAAAAACAAAAAAAAACCTCCTGCAAATCCCTTACTGAAATCACCTTGGGTAAGTCATGTAGTCTCTTTGGACCTTAGATTCATCATTATAAAACGAAGGATTTGGGCTTGATGTGTGCCAAGGGCCTTTTCAGATCCCGAGTGGTAATTAGTTAACTCCTAGAATTACGACTCCTTAAACCTTTAGGGTTTTTTTTTCTTATACTTAAAAAAATAACTTTATATCTAGTGATCCTATATAAATAAGTCTTTACTAATTAGGATATGTTTAACTTTATTCATTTTGTCAAAGATAAAGCTGCATACTAGCTTAAATTCTAAGGACAGATTTTCGTCAGTAATACACTTCTGCAACAGGGAAGAGAGTCTGGTATGAACTGAAGTCAACTTCAATTTGCAGAGATGACTGGGAGTTTTAAAGCGAGAATGGCAGGGGATTCGTCAGGGCAGATAAACGGGATCTGTAGAGTCAAGGAAATGAAAAATTTAAAAAGATTGGTAAAATATGCTGATTAGGCCAGCTGTGCCTGTTAGCTGGCACTGTGACTGGGGAATAGAGACCCTGTTTTTCCTGATGGTTACATTTTTAAAGAAATGGCTTTCAAGTCCTTGAAAAAGACACTCCTAAGTTGTAGGAGTTCGGCTCAGAGGGACAGAGGAAGGATTCACAGTTGTAAGCCCTTTATGGTAAAGAGGTTGGTCAGGACCTATCTTCATATGTTGGCTAGAACAAACAGTAGATTCTTTGGCAGCCTTGAGCTTTAAGAGGCAGACACTTTAAGAGAGGCTAGGGTCATCCTAAGGAGGTAACCTTGAGCTGTTAGAAATATTAGTGTTTAAGTCTTTTAATGTGAAAGGACAGAGTAGACCGAATCATTTGTTTGGAGAGTTCCTAGTTTTTAAAGGCCCAGGTTGAGGCCTGGTCCAAAGAGGGCTCAGAGGAGCCTGGGTACATTTTTATCAAAGAGATTTTTGTTGTTGTTAATTTTAATCTTCTATTCATTATGCTATTTGGGCAAGGAAGTAATCATAGTGTAAGCTCTAGACCTTTACATTTGTACCTAAACTAGGGGATAGGTGGGAAGGAATGGGGAGAATTGGGGAAGCTGACAGGTTTTATATGTTCAAAATTTGGAATTTGTCAAATAGTTTTGGTTTTTAAAAGAAAAGAAATATTGATGGATTTTTACACAGTTTTTGACAATATTTATGCCATGTTAAAGGACTGTATATACAGGCCAGGCACAGTGGCTCATGCCTGTAGTCCCAGCACTTTGGGAGGCTGAGGTGGGTGGATCACGAGGTCAGGAGATCAAGACCATCTGGCCAACAAGGTGAAACCCCATCTATACTAAAAATATAAAAATTAGCTGGGTGTGGTGGCGTGTGCCTGTAATCGCAGCTACTTGGGAGACTGAGGCATGAGAATTGTTTGAACCTAGGAGGCAGAGGTTGCAGTGAGTCTTACTACTACCTGGGTGACAGAGCAAGACTCCTGCTCTTAAAAAAAGAAAAAAAAAAAAAAAAAAAAAAGGACTGTATTCTGCACCTTACCTTATGTATCTACAATTGCAGATGTAAAGAAATGCTTTCTCACTGATGAAAGGTTACCTTTAAAGATGAAAGTGGCAGTGAGACACAATTTATACAGGTTGAGAACCCCAAATCCCAAATCTGAGATGCTCCAAGGTGTAAATGTTCCAAAATCTGAGAAAAACAAATTTCAAACACTTATGCTCTCAAGCATTTTGAATAAGGTGTACTCAACCTGTATTAGATTATATATCTGTCCCCACATGGAGACCCCATTGTAAATCGTGCTTTATTGGCATGGTTTTGGGAGAAGGCCAGACACCTGTGAATAAGGTGGTTCACATCATATACTTACAAGGAACTGTCTTATGCCCTTAACTGTGAAGGTAGAATTTAGCCATGGTCTTTGTGTTTCTTTGGACTTGTGACGGTTTTACTTTCTGTGATTATAATTATCTGTCTCTGGAGATCTGTGTCTATTTACTTTTTTTTTTTTTTTTTTTGAGACGGAGTCTTGCTGTGTCACCAGGCTGGAGTGCAGTGGCGCAATCTTGGCTCACTGCAACCTTGGCCTCCCTGGGTTCAAGCGATTCTTCCGCCTCAGCCTCCTGAGTAGCTGGGACCACAGGTGTGTGCCACCACGCCTGGCTATTTTTTGGTATTTTTAGTAGAGATGGGGTTTCACCGTGTTGGCCAGGATGGTCTTGAACTCTTGACCTTGTGATCCGCCCGCCTCGGCCTCCCAAAGTGCTGGGATTACAGGTGTGAGCCACCGCACCTGGCCTACTTATTTTTTATACAGCTTTGCCACTTTTGCTTTAAAAATTATTAGGAGGACATTTTCAAGTATCTGAAGAAAATATTTTCTTCTTTCCTCAACATTTTTACCCACACACTACTGCTCTCTCCAGTTGCAGTTGCATGGAATGACTAGTTAACATCCTGCCTGCTGAAATAGAGTTTTGTGTTCCTTTAGAAATTCAAAAGAAAAGACATCATTGAACTTCAAAATACATTTTCGGATGTCATCTCAGTATGAACATAAGGAGAGTATAGTGAATGCAGTTTTACAGAAGAGGCATGAGTGTGACAAGACAACATCAAGATTACTTTGGCTAAAGCCACTGTGATCTTCAAAGACTCTTTATGTTGTAAAATGTACAGTATACTTTAAAAGATGGAAAAATCACTTTTTAAATAGTTATTGTTTGCCACTAGGTTAAATTTTTTTTTTCAAGATTCCTTTTCAAAATAAATCTGTGTGGTGACAGACTGAGTTTGTTATAACTTGTTTACATAAAATTGAATGAAATGGGAAAAAAGTCTTTAAAATCTTACGTAGAGAATGTGTTGTAGATTAGGAACTAGAGGTGTGTGTTTAAGGTTTACTTGGTTTTGCTGCTGATGAAATATTCTGCTAAGTGGTGAGCACACACCTGCCCCAATAAGCATCATTACTTCAGATATTCTCCTTTATAAAATATTCTTGGTATATTTGGATTTAGAGGAAAGGAATGAGAAGGGAAGAGAAGTGAGTATATGCGGAATAAGAAGTGCTAAAACTCATTGAAATGTTAGTTGCTGGTCAACTCTATACCAAATAATACTGATTCTGTGTATGTGTATATTGTTAGAATGAGAACTGTTTGTATCAGACCTTTGCATGTATGTAGAAGAGGCCCCAACCGGGCTGGACTTGCTAAAGACTCGAAGTTCAACCAAAATTCCTCTCTTTGAAATGAGAGAGAGGTGTTGTTTTGTTTTGTTTTGTTTTTCACATTTCGACAACTGTCTTATTGTTAATCTTGGTTTGGCCTCTATTACCTTTAAAGGCCGAAATAATTTAAGACTGTTTAAGACTCGCACTCTCTCTCACTGTCTCTTGCTCCTGGTGCACGCTGCATGAGCACACGCACTCCCTCCCCCACCCCACTTCTCTTTTTTTTTTTTTGAGTTGGAGTATGGCTCTATAGCCCAGGCTGGAGTGCAGTGGTGTGATCTCAGCTCAGTGCAGCCTTTGCCTCCCGGGTTCAAGCGATTCTAAAGGAGTTTCTTTACAAAGATATAGTATGCTTCTTTCTCAGTTTTAAGAGAAAGACTTTGACCTAGAGTAGAAACCTTTATCATCCAGTATTTTCTATGCCAGGATCACTAGGACACTTACAGTAAGGATTCTGGAGAAGCACCAGGAAGTGATTGACTCAAGTATTAGGATTTGAGGCAAAATGGACTTAAAATGCTCATCTAGATTTTCTTTATCTGAGGGCATTTAGTCTATTAAAAAAGGTTGGACACGGTGGCTCATACCTGTAATCCCAGCACTTCAGGAGGGTGGATCATTTGAAGTCAGGAGTTTGAGACCAGCCTAACCAACATGGTGAAACCCCATCTCTACTAAAAATAGAAAAAAAATTAGCAGGGCATGGTGCTGCATGCCTGTATTCCCAGCTACTCAGGAGACTGAGGCAGGAGAATTGCTTTTACCTCGGGGGACGGAGGTTGCAGTGAACCCAGAGCAAGACTCTGTCTCAAAAAAAAAAAAAGGCAAGACTTAATTTTAGCATACTATATTTTCTCCATTCCTGTAAGAATTTCTATTTGTTACTTTTCTACCTTCCCTGTCCCCCTTTCACACATTCTGTATTTTCTTTTCTCAAATCACAATTCAGTACATTTGTTTGGAAACGTAGATCTATACCTCTCAAGTTTAAAACTATTCTGTGAGTAGAGAAACCTGAAATTCCTGGAGTTTGGGTAAGGATTCTCCCACCTTTGAGTTGATAAATAATTTTCCCAGTCAAGAGTGTTGATTATTTTTATATTATTGCTGAAGAAAGGATTTGCTTAAGAGCTTTGCAGTTTGAAGTTTTGGAGACTTTTTTTTTTTTTTTTTGAGATGGAGTTTCGCTCTTGTTACCCAGTCTGGAGTGCAATGGCGCAATCTCTGCTCTTCGCAACCTCCGCCTCCTGGGTTCCCGGAATTCTCCTGCCTCAGCCTCCTGAGTAGCTGGGATTACAGGCATGCGCCACCATGCCCAGCTAATTTTTTGTATTTTTAGTAGAGATGGGGTTTCACCATGTTGACCAGTATGGTCTCGATCTGTTGACCTCGTGATCCACCCACCTCGGCCTCCCAAAGTGCTGGGATTACAGGCGTGAGCCACCGTGCCCGGCCAAAGTTTTGGAGACTTTCTAAACTATTGAAAAGGATGGTATGTAAATACCCTGGGACACGAGTTATCAATTGATTTTACCACAATTCTTTCCAATTATCAAAGCTGGTCTGAGGATCTGTTTTGGCATAATTTTGGCTTTTCTTACCCCCTTGATAATATTCTACCTGTCATACTATCCTTTCATTAAATATTTTAATATTGTTTTATATATTATTTTACTTAAAAAATAAATAAATATAGAAAGTAAGAAAATTATGACATAGTTATGGCAAATTGGTTGAAATACTACTTTCTAATGCAGTTTTTCAAACTGGGTATTGTCACTCAGTAGGTAGACAATTTAATGGGTCATGATTAGCATGTAAAAAAATCTGAACAGAATAGAAAATATCAGTGTATTGCAAATAGTAAAGTTATTTTGTGAAACCTTTGACTTACATTGAGTTAATTGAAAACACATGTAATGGGTTGTGATGTAAATATGAATAGATTACTGTTACGATTTTAAGTTTGAAACCCAGTGAATTGTAGAAGTATAGCTTTGGAAAATCTTGGGATCTAATCACTTTGTAAAATAGGGAATATTTCATTTGTGTCTTTAGGCAAGAGGTTAATAGTTTCTTGTGATCAGTTCTGAGTTGTCAACTAGTTGAGAAGTGAAGCTGAAACTAAACCCAGTAGACTACTACAGTGTTAAAATACATATGAAAAGTCAGGCATAGAATCTAATGAATGTTCCTGCCTCTTACAAAGGAATATTTAGTACCTAATTGATGATCTCTTGTTCTATCATATTGAAGGGCAGCTATCATTAAAACAGTGCTTTTGACAGAATGATTTTGCTGACCTGCATCTGTGGATGGCAGAAGCATCAAAGAGAATGATCACAAGTGGGGAAGGCAGATTTAAAAATATCTGACTTCGTTAACTCCTATACTAATGTGACATCATCTCTATGCCCCACAAACCCTTGGAAATACTAGTTTTGGAGGAAGAGAGAAGTCTGGTGACTGGGAAATAGTTATAACCTATTGATCATTGTATACTTTATAAGGCAGTGATCAGAAGATATGTTTCAAGAAATGGAAGGTTGTTTGAGTAGCACTGATGACAGATCAAGTGCTTAAGGCAAACTTAATATATGTTACACAGTGTACAAAATTCCCTTTGGTTTGGTGGACTTTTTGGTGTTCATATTTAATTTTTAATTAATTGTAGACATATTTAAATACCAAGACTAACTTTTAAGAAATTTGCTATTTTATGTGATTCACATATCATGTACAAGTGTATGGTTACATGAAATAAACCTGGAAGATGACATGTGAATAATTTTGGTAGTCTCAGGGTAAGAGTTATTGGGGAGCTTTAAATTTTAATTTTGTCTGTGTTTTCAGATTTAAGTATTAATGTAATTGCACAAATTACACATTTTTAAAAAGTGAAGTGAATTTATACAATCCAAAAGTGGTTAGTTTCTTTCTGGAATGAGCAAAATAAAATTAGCTATAGCCTGAAGCATAGGGAATCTAAATGTTAACATCCAAGGTGAGTGATATAACAATGCTGGGCACAGGATGAAATGGTAGGTAAACCAGAATGCTAATGTTTTTCTTGAAAGCGACTTGAGTTTCATTATAGTTCTCAGAAGAGGATAACAAATTCTCATTTCATACCAAGTAAATTAAAATATTTCCTTATGAACTTGCAACTTAGTGGTTGGAGTTACACACTAGTCTCTTTCCAGCTTCCATCTCCCGTTAGAATGCAGAGTAAAAGTGATCCGATTCTAGTCACTTTTGAAAGCGAAGAGTTGTAGGTTACAGCCAAATTTTGAGGCTGTACGGTGAGAGGAACAGAGTGAGTCTGACAGATTTTAAGCTCTTTGTATATATGTTTTATTTTAGAAATGTAGGAACTGTGCACAAATAATTTAGAAACAAATTACCGATTCCAATGCAAAAAATTTGGCAGAATAGTGGAGAATTTGTAAGCTTGTCATACCTTGATTTTTTAAATTCACCTTTCCCCAAAAGAAAGCAACTGCTGCTCTTAGGACAAAGTGTTTGAATAGAGTATTCCTGCTTTTGTAATCCGTTTGACTTGATTGCTGTTGTATACTCTTTGATTTCTTCAAAGCCAAAAGCCCAAGAGGGATTTCTCAAGTGTTATACACACACATTTTGGTCATGTGTTTGTTAAAAAGGGACAGTTCAACTCATCAGGCTCTCCTTAACCATTGTGTGTCTGTTGGTAGGTATCTGTTAAATGGTTGGGTGTCTGAAATTCAGAATATCCACAAACCCACCCAGAAGTGACAAATGCTAATGTTTTGCCTTTTTCTTTATCACATTATAAAGGGTACTAAACTGTCACAGTTTTCTTTTACTCCTGTCATCATCTTCCCGTCTCGGAGACAAACACTCTCCTTATCCTTGCATTTATACTTTTTATTTTGAATGGGCATTTATAGAAATACTGTTATGATTCTGTTTTTAAAATGTTCACATGGTATTTTGTGCTAGTCAATCTACAACTTGTATTCTTATAAATAATGCTTTTAGAAACTAATCATGTTGACATGTTGCTCTTGTTCATTTTAACTATAATATTCCATTATAACTAATATCTAGAGTTACCTAGATCAATCTCAGTTTATGCATTTTGTGCCAGTGAAAATATTAATAGCACTTCTCTGTACCAAACTGGTACTCTTCTAAGTGTATCAGTATGTTTGATGTGTTCATTGGTCACCTTCATTATTATATGCCCTGATTGACCTAGTCCCCTGTAGATGGACATTTGTTTTCAACTGCCATTTTTATTCCACAGTTGCAACGCTGTGTTTTTTTTTTTCCTCTCTCTCTTTTTTTCTAGCACTTACTTGAATATGTTAAAAGAGTGTTTAAACTGTTCTTTGTGGTGTAGCCTCCTTTACTATCAAATGCAAGCAAGACTCGGTTAGCGATGCTGGACCATGGCAGCCTTTTCTAATCTCTTGGTCTATAGCAGTGTGATGTCTTACTAATAAGCATTCTTAAATTGTGTGGTTAATTATTATGCTAGTCAAGATAGATGAAGCAGTATGTTGAAGTGATGATGATGTTATGGAAAATATATTAGAAATAATTTTGCATTTCTAATGGGAAACAAAGTGCTCAGTGCTGTGAAATAGCTGAGAGGTGACTTCTTTTTAGGCCTCAAGTGGAAAAATTGTGACCATATGTTAGAGTATTATAGGCAAAGTGTTATAGGCAATTTAGTAGTTACTAGGTCTTTTAAGGTAATTTAGTCTGTCGCTTGGCTTTATTTCTTCCCACATGTTGGTCTAAAGCTGTGGTCTCTTCGTGGTATACAGGATTATCCATTGTGGCAAAGAGAGAAAATGTTAGAATTCCTATTTATGTTTATTTTTATCCTGTATACCTAATCTCATTGGTATCTATATCAGTTTCCTAGGGTTGCCACAAAATTGCTATATACTTGATGGTTTAAAACAACTGAAGTTTATTCTCTCACAGTTCTGGAGGCTAGAAGTCTGAAACCAAGGTAATGGCAGGGTTGGTTTGTTCTAGAACTTTTGAGGGAGAATTCATTCCATGCTGGTGCTTGTTTCTGGCTTGTCAGTAGTTCTTGGCATTCCTTTACTTGTAGCATATCACTCTAGTCTGCCTTCATCTTCACATGGCCATCTCCCCTGTGAGTCTCTGTCTTTCCCTCTTCTATCTCTTCTAAGGACAAGTGTCATTGACCTAGTCTTATCCCGGATTATCTCATCTAGAAATCCTTAGTTACATCTACAAAAGCTTTTTTTTTTTTTTTCCCAAAAAACATCTCATTTACAGATTCTAGGTGGACATATTTTGGGAGGTGAGGGCACAGACAGGATGCATCATTCAAACCACTACAAGAATATGTAACTACTTTTAAAACTGACATGGAAGAGACGTGCACTAAAATTTTGTTCTGATGGTACACCTTTATCAAAGAAGCTTGGAGACTTCTAGTTCAGAGAACTGTTTGGGTTGGATATACAGTTGGCCTTTTTTCATGTAATTAGATGACCCTCTGTGACATGAAAAGTAGTGTAAGAGTTAAGACCAGGCAAAGTGACTTATACCTGTAATCCCAGCACTTTGGGAGGCCGAGGCGGGCGAATCACCATGTCAGGAGTTCAAGACCAGCCTAGCCAACATGGTAAAACTTCATTTACTAAAAATACAAAAATTAGCTGGACGGGATGATGCGTGCCTGTAATGTCAGCTACTCTGGAGGCTGAGGCAGGAGAATCACTTAAACCTGGGAGGTGGAGGTTGCAGTGAGCTGGGATCACACCACTGTACTCCAGCCTAGGCAACAGAGCAAGACTCCATCTGGGGCGGGGGGAGGGGGGTTGTGGAGAGAGTTAATTGCTAATATTCCCTATGTTTCTTGTTCTCAGTAGGCTAATGCACACACTACTGTATCAGAATGACCAGGATTTGGTTTATGGGCTCCCTTTTAGACTTGTCAGGAATGTGGATAGCTATCAGATAGACTCAGATAATAAGCATGAGACTTTTGTGCTTCATAGGCTTTGGCTCCACCACGTTACAGATACTCAGTGTAATTCTTGTTCTTGCTATTTCCTTTGTGTGTGAATTAGAAGATTATATAAGGTTGCTTTTTGATATTTTTCCTGGATATAACCCCCTTGTACTTGATTTTTAGTTCACAGTAGGGATGATGAGTACAAAGATTGGACATTATTTTGGGGCCATTAATGTATGACTAAAATTTGGTCTTTCATGCTATAAAGTTTTGTACCATTTAAAAGCCTCAGCACTTAGCTGGTTCTTGCAGTGTAAAGTAAATTTAACTGTATGTTAACAGTCTTAACTTTTTTTTTAACTTATAAAGAAAAGAGGTTTAATTGGCTCGCAGTTCTGCAGGCTGTACAGGAAGCATAGTACTGGCATCTGCTTCTGGGGAGGTCTCTGGAAGTTTACAGTGACGGCAGAAGGCCAAGCGAGAACTTGCACATTACATGGCCAAAGCAGGAGCAAGAAAGAGTGAGCAACAATCTTAATTATGATCAAAGGTCGTTCTACATTTCTTAATTTCTTTTAGACTAAATATTGGGGATAGAGAAGAAAAAATATCTTAAGACTTCTGGTTTGAAGAAAAAGAAATACATATAATCTTAAATGGGGAATGCCAAAAGACAGATACTTTAGTAGCGGAACAAGAATTAGTTTTTGTGGGCATTCCATTCCAGGTCATCTGTGAGCCCGTGGAGTAGCCATCATGAGCTAAGCCCCCCCTCTTAAGTCGAAAAAATTTATGGGCAAGAAGTTACCATTGAAATTAAATGGTGGCAGACATATCCAAGGAATATTGCGGGGATTTGATCCCTTTGTGAATCTTATGATAGATGAAAGTGTGGAGATGGCGACTAGTGGGCAACAGAACAATATTGGAATGGTGGTAATACGAGGAAATAGTATCATCATGTTAGAAGCCTTGGAATGAGTATAAATAATGGCTGTTCAGCAGAGAAACCCATGTCCTCTCTCCATAGGGCATTTTTTTCTGTGATGTAACATTTTCATATTAGACTTTTTGTTAAATAAACCTTTGTAATAGTAAAAAAAATAATTTTTGTGAAAAAGAGGAAAGGTGTGGACAATTATATATATATATACATATATATATATATATCCTAAAATGAAGTAAATCTCAGTTGTAACTAACATTGCTGCAGTCATTTTATGTTATGAAGTCTTTTAATACAGTGTTATCTCATTTGATCCTCACAATGTTGGTGATTTTGTAGCTCCATTTTACAGAGCAGGAAACTTCAACTCAAATAGGTTAACTCATGTTTCCAAGATTAAATAAAGTTTGAAGAACTGAGATTTGATCTATGGAAGTTTAGACTCGATCTAATCTTCTCCACTGTTTGATGTTATTAGGAATGAAAGTAGTAGACTTAGATGGGATTGTACTGTAAAAACCAAGGCTAAATAGATTTAGATGGGATTGTTTCGTGAGGATGGAGCAGTAATACTGTTTTGCATTTGTATGTTGTAAGAGTATTTGCTTTTTCTGTGCTCTTTTCTTTTAGCTCAGCTGTAGTTTGCCTCTGGATCATCCCCAGTCATAATCAGAGAAACAGTGCTGAAAGCTTCACAGAGTAGCTAATTTAGGAAAAGGTGTGCATGTGTGGTGGGGGGAGTGTTTTTGTCTAACACATTTTCTGTTTTGGTAGTGAGATCTTCATTTCTTAACATCTTTCTTGTTATCGTTCATGTGACTTTTAGCTCATTAACCTTGCTCTCTGCACTGCATAGTGAAGCACCATTTCTAATTTAGTCTCCTGTGTTTAGCTTCTCAGAAGATTTTTTTTGAAAATGTTTGGAAGTGTGATTTAATTGCAAGGCTGTTTGCACATTGTCAGTGTGAAAGCAAAGATGAATTTCATATTTAGACTGTGCAACCTGCAGATTTCATTTGTTAAAGCTTCCAGTTGGTATTCCTGTTCTCTCATACATGTGTGCATAATAGTATGGAAAAAATTTCTGTTTTTTTTTTTTTGTATCTGTATTTATCAGTATGGTTTAGATATGGAAAAGCCTATCTGCTTTGTATATTTGCTCATTTGGAAACCTTGTATAGTTTATAGAGACACTAGTGATTTGTTCCCTAGCCTCCCTATGGATTTTGTTCCATATTACAATCTAATTCCACCTCCTTGTCCTATACTCCTGAGCTGTTAATTTGTACATTTCGATGCAGTTTGTTTCATCCTGTGTTTTTGTAATCCAAACTGAATGTAACGAGCTGTGTGCTTTAGGGACCTGGCTTTGCCTTGCCAATTAGAACAAAGTGGTTACTGAGTAAGAGTATGTTTTAAATAAAACATGGTACCTCTGAGTGGTGCTGACACTCATTTGGGAATAAAAGAGATGGTTTTAACTCCTTGACTCACAAAGAAGAGCCATTACAAAAAATCACTTTTTTTTTTTTTTTTTTTTTTTGAAAAGAGCGATAAAGGTTTACCTCCATAAAATATGGTTTTATAAGTTTCTTCGGGTAGCTAAATAAATGTAAAAGTTTGTAATTTCAAATACACTTTTTTCCTTCATGATCATTTGAGATGTGTTAGCAAAGTTCTCTAAATTTCTGAGTATTGAACCAATGGCTGCTGCTGAATTTTGAATTTGTTCATGTTGAAGAAGGTGAGGGTGTATGAAACAAATAGATGTGTTCTTTTGATTTTTCTAATATATCAAGCCAAGTTTTCAATGTAATGGTGGCACTCCTCCCAGAGATACTTGAAAATTATGAAGATGAATGTAGGCTTCTACACAATCTTGTAGGAATATTATTTTCAGATAATTGAATTTTGAGCCATCAATGACTTAAGGCTATTTCGAAGTTTAGCTGCACTTTCATCAAACATTTAAAGCACAGATGTTTCTGAATAGACCTTCATAGGCTAATAGTTTACTAACACATCATAGAGAGCCCCTCATCAGTTACTTCTGGTTTGCATCTGCCCTAAAAATACAGTTCTCTTTTTAGCTGATACAGCAGATAAACTCTGTTATTCATCATTGGCATAAGGAAAACATAAAATTTATTTTGAAGAAAAGGTGGACTGCATCAAAATCTTTGAAATAAAGACATCAAGGGGAAAACTAGATGTAGAAAGACTTGGTGATGGGTTTAGACAACATTATAGCATGATCCAAGATGGCTGATTGCTAACAGCTTGGGATTGTAGCTCCCAGTGAAAGCGCAGAGAACAAGAGGACACCACGGTTTCAGACGAATTTTTGTCGCTCACGGACCAGAAGATTCCCAGTGGAGGAGCCCCAGAAGATTCCCAGTGGAAGAGCCCCACGGGTCGCCAGCGCGACTCTTGTGGCCGGTGCAGTGGTTTTGCCGGTGCCTCGGAGCTGCAGCTCTTCGTGCAGAGTAAACGGGACTGGTTCCCCTTCTGACCGATGTTTGGAGCTCCGGGAAGGCAGAGCCACTTACTACGGACTCAAGAAGAAAGCCAGACCGGAGATTCCTGGGCAGAAGAGCACCATCAGTCTTATTGCTGCTGTTTTGGCCGGTGCAGTGGGTTGCTCGGATTCCAGCACTGGGAATCAATAAACCCGACATCCACTCAGAAACCTAATTAGTAAGGCGGTAATTGTAAAGAAGACAGATGGATAAATTTATAACAAAGGGAAGAAACCAGCCTAAAAAGGCTGAGAATACCCAAAATCAGAACCCTTCTTCCTCTACAGGGGATTACAGTTTCTCATCAGCAATGGAACAAGCCCTGATGGAGAAGGACTGTGTTCCATTAACCAGAAGTAGGCTTCAGAAGGTGGATGATAAGAAACTTCTGGGAGTTAAAAGAACTTGTTCTAACCCAGTGTAAAGAAACTAAGAACTTTGAAAAAAGGTTTGATGAAATGCTAACAAGAATAGACAATATAGAGAGGAATATAAATGAACTAATGGAGTTGAAAAACACAACACGGGAATTTAGCGAAATATGCACAAGTTTGAATAGCCGAATTGATCAAGCAGAAGAAAGGATATCAGAGGTCGAAGACCAACTTAATGAAATAAAACGAGAAAACAAGAATAGAGAAAAAAGGATAAAAAGAAATGAGCAAAGTCTCCAAGAAATATGGGACTGTGTGAAAAGACCTAATTTATGTTTGATAGGTGTACCTGAATGTGACGGAGAGAATGAATCCAAGCTAGAAAATACTCTTCAGGATATTATTCAGGAAAACTTTCCCAATCTAGCAAAGCAGGAGAATATTCAACCCCTGGTAATACAGAGAACACCACAAAGATATTCCTCAAGAAGAGCAACCCCAAGGCACATAATCATCAGATTCACCAGGGTTGAAATGAAGGAGAAAATGCTAAGGGCCGCCAGAGAGAAAGGTCAGGTTACCCACAAAGGGAAGCCTATTAGATTTAAAGCAGATCTCTCAGCAGAAACCCTACAAGCCAGAAGAGAGTGGGAGCTAATATTCAACATCCTTAAAGAAAAGAACTTTCAGCCCAGAATCTCATATCCTGCCAAACTAAGCTTCACAATTGAAGAAAAAATAAAATCTTTTATGAACAAGCCAGTACTCAGAGATTTTATTACCACCAGGCCTGCTTTGCAAAAGCTTCTGAAAGAAGCATTATACATAGAAAGGAACAACCAGTATTAGCCTTTCTAAAAATATACCAAAAAGTAAAGACCATCAACATAAAGAATTTATATAAACAAATAAATCAAATAGCCAGTTAACATCAAATGGCAGTAACCCTAAATTTAAGTCGACTAAATCCCCCAATCAAAAGATACAGCCAAAACCTAATGGTATGTTGCATCCAGACCCATTTCACATCCAAAGATACACAAAGATTCAAAACAAAGGGGTGGAGAAAGACTTACCAACCAAATGGAGAGCAAAAATAAATAAATTAATTAATTAAAAAGCAGGAGTTGCAATTCTCGCATCTGATAAAATAGATTTCAAAGCAACAAAGATATAGTGGTAAAAGGATCAACGCAACAATAAGAGCTAACGATCCTAACACCCAGATACATAAGACCCATAAAGAGATTTAGACTCAACGAGACAGAAAATTGATGAGGACAACCAGGACTTGAACTCAGATCTGGAACAAGTAAACTTAATAAATATTTATAGAGCTCTCCATTTTAAATACACAACACATACATTCTCCACTTTAAATACACAAAATATTGATTGGCCATTATTAATACCCATTTTTAGAATAAAGCAATATTCCCATTCTCTCTCCTTCTTTTTCTTCCTTTCCTTTACTCCTTTTTTTCCTTCTTTCTAAAAAAAAAAAAAAAGAAAAAAACCATTATAGCATGTATTAACTTATGCGAACAAAAGGAATGCATTTCTGTGGAACAGTTCAATTCAAATGTAGGAGTATCATGTTGGAAAAAATGTTTCTAGAAAAATGAGCTCTGTGCTAGAGGAAGCCAGTTAATTGGACTAAGTTAAACTAAACATATGCATTTCTAATATTGTACTGGGAAAGTCTTGCAAGCCCTACTGATGGTTTGACGAGACAGTCATTGTAACAGCATTATTAAATGCCCTGTGCTTCATATTTGAAGATTAACTGCCATGTTGCTAGTGCTTTAAATTGTCCGGTTTTCTGAGTAAAGATATTAAAGTTTAAATGTGCTATCAACTTCTCCTTAACACTATTTTAACCTGTTGCTAAACTGAGAGTCCAGGAGATTGAATTTTGTTTAAAAATATTTGACATCTGGCCAGGCGCAGTGGCTCATGCCTGTAATCCCAGCACTTTGGGAGGCCGAGGTGGGTGGATCACGAGGTCAAGATATCGAGACCATCCTGGTCAACATGGTGAAACCCTGTCTCTACTAAAAATACAAAAAATTAGCTGGGCACGGTGGCGCGTGCCTGTAATCCCAGCTACTTGGGAGGCTGAGGCAAGAGAGTTGCCTGAGCCCAGGAGGCGGAGGTTGCGGTGAGCCGAGATCACGCCATTGCACTCCAGCCTGGGTAACAAGAGCGAAACTCCTGTCTCCAAAAAAAAAAAAAAAAAAAAAAAAAAAAAAAAAAAAAATTGACGTCTATAGACAACACGGAATTTGCCAGCTTTGCATAAAGTAACAGTGTTTTCCTCAACTCATGGTTTAGGATTCAGTTGCTGTTAATTTCCATGCGTGAAGCAAAAATTAACGTCAAGAAGTCTTTCTCAAAAAATTTTTTAATGCAGGTACTAGGCTTCCAATGGCAACTGAAAGCTGGATTATTAATTTCTTAAGAGAAATTACCTGTTCAGTTACTCAGTGTACTTCATAACTATTTCTAAACACTGGTTTTGTTTTTTGGAAGTTAGTAGTGTGATTCCCATTAATCATGTGATATTAGGAAATGGTGATCATAGAATATCTGAGTGGAAAGAATTTTAGAGCCCTTTTCTGTCTGAAACATTGGTAGTCATTCCAAATGTCTGCTGAATTAATGAGTTGAAAAGTAAACTGAGGTAGTGAGGGTAAAGTGGCTTATTATTTCATCTTTTATTTGCATATTTATTTATTCATTGTCCAAAATTATCTGCCTCTTCGTGGCATCTTTTTTTTTTAATAAATAGAGTCTTGCTCTGTCGCCCAGGCTGGAGTGCAGTTATTCGATCTCAGCTCACCGCAACCTCTCCCTCTCTGGTTAAGCAATTCTCCTGCCTCAGCCTCCCAAGTAGCTGGGATTACAGGCATGCGCCACCATGCACGGCTTATTTTTGTGTTTTTAGTATAGACGAGATTTGGTCATGTTGGCTAGTCTGGTCTCAAATTCCTGACCTCCAGTGATCTGCCTGCCTTGGCCTCCCAAAGTGCTAGGATTACAGGTATGAGCCACTGTGCCCGGCTGACATAGTCTTATTTTAGTTATCAGTGGCAATTTATTTTTGGACACACCATATGGCTTAATCTTTATAAAGCAAAAATGAATGCCTTGTCTAAAACACTGTTTTATATAGTTGTCATATAAAATACCTGACCTTGTTTTAGCAGACTTTTTCCTTTTTTCTTGTCAATATTTTGAGCTTATGAAAAGCACAGCCCTTGCTTGAGGGCTTGTCAGACACCTGGATACCTGAGGCACTGCTGGTTACCACTTCCAGTTAAAATTCTGTCAGTGATTCTAGTTGCATTATAAATTAAAATTCAGAGAAACAGCCCCACCCTAACATCAGAGTGATGTTTGGTGTCTTAAAGGCCTGGTGTGGTTTGTTCAGTGGCTTCATTGAAAGGCTGCCTGTGACTTCTTTCTGAATTTTAGATGGAAATAAATACAGGATATTCATTGTGGAGGTTCAGAGTGAGAGAATAATGGGCAATGTAAAGGCATACAAGTTTGCTTTTTAAAAACTGCAACCAAGGGAACCTTTTCAAAGTACACTGTAAAGGTCAAGTTTCTTGTATTTCCTACTTGATCTCTATGTGACTGAATGGAGGCTATTTCACTTCTGATTTATAAGATATTTCCCGGGATTCAAGGTTTTGTGTACATCAGACATTGTTAGCACTTTTGTCTTTTGTGTGGCTCTAACCTTAAGAAGGAAAACAAAGACCCAATCTGCATTTTGAGAAGCCCTTCCCTATAGGCCTTTGTTGCATAACTCAAAAGAGCAACAACCTTAGAAAAGTAATTGGGTTTTTCAAAACACATAATTAGGATATTCCTCCCCATTCCTTCATGCACGCTATGAAGTTACCAGGATACCCTTTCACTGTGAAGTTATCAGGATAGTTAACAATTGTGACCTGTGGGGGTTTTTTTTTTTTTTCCGGTGTCCTAATCATGGTGGGGAGAGAGGGAAGCATTAATTTTTTACTAATTTCCCTTGAATTCACCAATGCCTTACTTTCCCACAGCATTATCAAAGAATTGATGTTTATGCTGTTTTAGAAACTGGCTTTTAAACAAGTGTTTTTACTATAACGTGAATAAACCTTGAGAACATTATGCTAAGTGAAATAAGTCAGTTACAAAAAGAACAAATACTATATGATTCTGCTTATATGATGTACCTACACTAGTCAGATTCATAGAGACAAATAGAAAGGTGGTTTCCAAGGGCTAGAGGGTGGGGGAACTGAAGAGTTGTTTATGATAAAGAAAGTCAGTTTGTGAAGATGAAGAAAGATCAGGAGATGTGTGGTGGTGGCAGTCGTTGCACAACAGCGTGAATGTACTTAATGCCACTGGAACTGTAAGATTGAAAACAGTTACGGTGGTAAAATTTATGTTGTGTGCATTTTACCCGAATTAAAGATATTGATTAAAATAGTGTTTACTTTTGAGTATAGTTTGTTCTTTACATTTGCCAAAATCTTTTTGTTTGAATTTCTTTAAAAAATCTGTTAACAGGAGATTAAGTGTATTTCGTCTTTGTTTTGTGACAATAAACTAGTCATCTACAGTAGAAAGTAGAAAATAAAAATATTTCCAGAAATAAAACTGAGATTTAAAAACAATTCAATTTTTTCCCTTCTTGTATTTATCTGTGTAGATGATGCCATAACAGGTATTATATATGATTAAATTTAAAAAGTTGTAGTGGCTTTGATTTTGCGAAAGCTTCTTTACCTGAAATATTAGTTTCCTCATTTGTCGAATGGGGGGTTATTATACCTCCTTCCCTGGGGATAAAATAAGATGATATAGATTAAATCTCTTTAAAGCTATTTTATTAAGGTACTACCTGCATGTAGTTTAAAAAGTCAAAATATTTATTACATGTAACAAAATGCCCTGCCCTTTCTACTCCCAAGTTTCCCTACATGCAGTGATTGAGAGGAACAATGACTCTGAATTCTGTCTGCTGTTTCTTCTGAATTTATATTTCTCCATATTTGTGATTAATGTATATATATTGCTGACTTTTTGATTTCTCAGTTGCACACATTTTTTTTTTTACCTTGTTAGGATATATAAAGCCTTTGTTCCCTTATGCCCTCTCTCCTATTCCCCCCAACATATTTACAGTGAAATTTTGGTTAAATAATTCTTCAGTATTTATGTTTTTATGGGTATGTAAATATTATGACATTGGAACATTTAGCTTAGTATATCCTTTTTTTCTTTTTTTTTCCCTTCTTGGAGGATTTTCCAGAGATCTTTCTGCTACTTCTATTTTATTGCATTGTGCTCAAGAAACATATTTTGTATGATCCTCATTCATTTATTGAGACTTATTTTATGACAAAATATGTCTTGGAAAATGTTGTGTTTGTATTTGAAAAGAATGTGCATTCTGCTGTTGTTGAATAGCTTGTTCTTTAAATGTCAGTTAGGTCAGGTTGGTTGATGGTGTTCAAGATTTTCATGTCTGTTGATTTTTAGCTTACTTGTTCTGTCAATTACTGAGAGAGGGATAGTGAAATATCTGAATACAATTATGGATTAAAACAGTTTTTAAAAATATTTCTGTCATATTTAGCTTCATGTGTTTTGAAGCTCTGTTACTAGGTACATAAATGTTTAGGATTTCTTCATCTTTATAAATTGATACCTTTATTGTTATGGAATGACTTTTAATTGCAGATAATGTTACTTGCTGTGAAATTTACCTTGAGATTAATTTAACTGTGCTAGCTTTCTTTTGGTTAATGTTCACATGGCATAGATTTTTTCTTTTTGTTTTCATTCCAACTTTTGTTTTTAGGTTTAAGGGATATTTGTGCACATTTGTTACATGGGTAAATTATGTGTTACAGGGGTTTGATTCCCACAACCTCCTCTTTGGGTTCCATTAATTTGTTAGGGTGGGCAGTTCACAGAACTCAGAGAAACATGTTTGTTAAGAAGATATTTAAGGGATACAGATAAATAGCCTGATGAAGAGGTACATAGGATGAGGTCTGAAAAGGTCCTAAGCACTGGAGCTTCTGACCCTGTGTAGTTGGGTGCACCACCCTCCCTGCCCATGAAAGAGTTCACCTTCACCTTCCTCTTGGCCTACACATGATCAGCTGTCTGGAAGCTCACTGAATCCTCTCTTCTTGGGTTTTTATGGACGCCTCATGACATCATAATTTCTTCCCCCAGGGTATAGGGTGAGACCCTCTGTCAGAAAAGGGAGCCGGGGGAACATGTGCCAGGAACTGTGGATTCTGGATATTAGACCTTTGTTTGACTGCATAGTTTGCAAATATTTTCTTCCATTTTGTAGGTTGTCTGTTTACTCTATTGATAATTTCTTTTGATGTGCAGAAGGTCTTGTCTTAGGTCCCACTTGATTTTGTGGCAATTGCTTTTAGTCTTCATGAAATCTAGTTTTTTTCCTGGAGTTTTATGATTTTAGGCTTTAAATTTAAGTCTTTATTCCATCTTGAGTTGATTTTTCTATGTGGTAAAAGGAAGGAATCCAGTTTCAATCTTCTGCATATGGCTAGCCAGTTATTCCAATACCATTTGTTAAATAGGGAATCCTTTTTCCATTGTTTGTTTTTGTTGACTTTTTTTTTTTAGTCAGAGTCTCCCTCTGTTGCCCAAGCTGGAGTGCAGTGGTGTGATCTTGGTTCACTACAACCTCTGCCTGCCGGGTTCATGTGATTCTCCTGGCTTAGCCTCCTGACTAGCTGGGGTTATAGGCGCCTGCCACCATGTCCGGGTAATTTTTTTTTTTTTTTTTTTTTGTAGAGATGGGGTTTTACCATGCTGGCCAGGCTGGTCTTGAACTCCTGACCTCAGGTGATCCACCCACCTTGGCCTCCCAAAGTGCTGGGTTTACATGCATGAGCCACCGTGCCTGGCCTGTTGACTTCGTTGCTGGTTGTAGGTGTATGGCTTTATTTCTGGGTTCTCTAACCTGTCCATTGATCTATTTTTGTACCAGTACTATGCTGTTCTGGTTACTATAGTTTGAATTCGGGTAATGTGATACTTCCAGCTTTGTTCTTTTTGCTTAGGATTGCTTTAGCTATTTGGGCTCTTTTTTGGTTTCATATGAATTTTAGAATAGTTTTCTTCTTCTAATTCTGTGAAAAAAGTCTTAGTTTATAGTTTGATGGGAATAGCATGGAATGTATAAATTGCTATGGGCCATATGGCCATTTTAACCCTGTTGATTCTTCCTATCCATGAGAATGTTTTCCACTTGTTTGTGTCATCTCTGATTTATTTCAGCAGTGTTTTATAATTCTTCCTGTAGAGGTCTTTGACCTTCCTGGTTATCTGTATTCCTAGGTGTTTTATGTTTAATGTGTGTGTGTGTGTGGAGGGAGTGGGCTACTATAGAAATAGGATTGCAGTCTTGTTTTGGCTCTCAGCTTGGACATTGTTGGTGTACAGAAGTGCTGCTGATACTTGTCTGTTGATTTTGTATTCTGGAACTTTGCCGAAGTTGTTTATCAGATCTAGGAGCTTTTGGATAGAGACTGTGTTTTCTAGGTATAAAATCGTACCATTTGCAGAAAGTGATAGTTTGACCTCTCTGTTTATATTTGGATGCCCCCTTTTTTTTTCCTCTTGCCTGATTGCTTTGGCTAGGACCTACAGTACTGTGTTGAATGGGAATGCTGAGAGTGGGCATATTTGTCTTAATTCTGATTCTCAAGAGGAATACTTTTAGCTTTTGCCTGTTTAGTATGAGGTTTGCTATGGGTTTGTCATAGATAGCTCTTATTATTTTGAGGTATGTTCCTTCAGTGCTTAGTTTGTTGAAGGTTTTTAACACAAAGCTATGTTGAATTTTATCAAAAGCCTTCTGAGGCCATTAAGATACATTTATTGAGATGATCATGTGGTTTTTCTTTTTAGTTATGTTAATGTGATAAATCACATTTATTGATTTGTGTATGTTGAAACAACCTTGCATCCCAGGAATAAAGCCTGCTTGATCATGGTGGATTAGCTTTATGATGTGCAGCTGGATTTTGTTTGCTAGTATCTCACTGAAGATTTTTACATTTGTGTTCATCAGGGATATTGGCGAGAACTTTTATTTTTGTGTGTGTCTTTGCCAGGTTTTGGTATCAGAATGATGCTGACCTCATAGAATGTGTTAGGGAAGAATCTCTCTTCCTCGGTGTTTTGGAATAGTTTCAATATCGTTGATACCAGTTCTCCTTTATTTGTCTGGTAGAAGTGAGCTGTGAGTCTTCTTCTGGTCCAGGGTTTTTGCTGGGTTGGTAGGCTTTTTATTGCACATTCAATTTTGGAACTTGATATTGGTCTGTTTAGGATTTCCGTTTCTTTCTGGTTCAATCTTGGGAGGTTTTATGTGTATAGGAATTTATCCATTTCTTCGAGATTTTCTAGAAGAAATGTGCATAGAGATGTTTGTAATCGTCTCTGAGGGTTTTTTAATTTCTGTGAGGTCAATGGTAATGTCTTCTTTGTCATTTATGATCGTGTTTATTTGGATATTCTCTCTTGCTGAGGTCCCATTTCTGCCACTTATCCATATACTTCTTCCTGTCAGCTCAAATGTCTTTGGGGTTCCTGGAGTCTCCTGCAGCTTGGATTCTAGGTCTATGGTAAGAGTGAACTACTGCTCAGCTATTTAACTCACCCCTTCCCCAGGAGCTACTGTGGGTCTGGAACAAGTTCTGGTGCTCAGCAGGGTTCCCAGCTTCCTTCTCCTCTAGCCCAGAGTCTGTGTCCTCCCTCTCTCCACTCTCAGTGTCTTCCTTCTGCAGATCTGCTTGGAGTGTGCCTGTCTTCTTGATGGTGTAGTCTTGGTGGGAGATGCTCTTCCTGGCTGTCTAGTTGCATGTCTTGGCTCTTCTCTCATTCATTTTTTCCAGTTTTTTTCAATTCTTTACTTTTGACCTGTGGTGTTTTTATATTTAAAATACATTTCTTCTAGAAAGCATGTAATAGAGTCTTGCTTTGATGTGCACTACAAGTCTTTACTTTTAGTTAGGGTATTTACATAATTTTATTTAAATATGATTACTGGTATAATTATGTTTAAATCTCTCATTTTGGTTTGGGTTTTCTATTTGTCTCATCTTTTCTTTTTTTCTTATTTCCCTGCTTTCTTTTCAATTAGTTAAACATTTTTAATGATTCTAACATACCTCCTTTGTTGACTTCTATTAGTGCTTCGGCTAGGATGTATCATATATATATTTAACTTCTCACAGTTTGTCAAGTGATATTCTGTTACTTCATAAGTGGTATAAAACTTTATAATAGTTAGTATACTTTCATTTCTTTTTTCCAAATCTTTATGCTGCTGTTGTCATATATTTTACTTTTACGTAATTATTATTATTTTTTTTCCTTTTTTGAGACAGGGTCTCTCTCTCTTGCCGAGGCTGGAGTGCAGTGGTGTGATCATGGCTCACTGCAGCCTTGACCTCCTGGGCTGAAGCAGTCATCCCACCTTAGCCTCCTGAATGACTGGGACTCAGGCACGTTGCACCACACCTGGCTGATTTTTAAATTTTTTTTGTAGAGGCAGGGTTTCAGGATGTTGCCCAGGCTGGTCTTCAACTCCTGGGCTCAAGTTGTCCTCCTTCCTTGGCCTCATAAAGTGCTAGGATTACAGTTGTGAGTCATCACCCCCAGCCTATAGTCAGTTATCTTTTTTTTTTTTTTGAAAGAAAGAGAAAGAGGGAGAAAGAACAGGAATCTTGCTCTATTACCTAGGCTGGAATGCAATCTAAAAATAGGTATTAAAAACCTCTTTTATGCCAATAATTGTGCTTAACAGCAGAGACAGGAAGGAACAAGGGAAGAAAAAAACAAACAGCCAACCAGTATTTCATTTAAGTCCGTGAAATGCTATACAAATGCTGAAGAGTGATTTATTTCCAATTATGTGGTCACTTTAAAAATAGGTGTAATGTGATACTGAGAAAAGTGTATGTTCTGTGGACCTGGGGTGAAGAATTTTATAAATATTCACTGAGTTTACTTGTTCCAGGTCTGAGTTATAATCATAGATGTCCCTGTTAACTTTCTATCTCATTGATCTGTCGAATATTAACAATGTGGTGTTAAAATCTCCTGCTATTACTATGCTGGAGTCCAAGTCTCTTTATAAGTCATTAAGAACTTGTCTTATGTATCTGGGTGCTCCTATATTGGGTGCATATATATTTATGATCATTGACTTCTGTTGTTGCATTGATCCTTTTACCATTATGTAATGTCCTTCTTTGTTTCTTTTAGTCTTTGTTACTATTAAAGTCTATTTTGTCAGAGACGAAAGTTACAACTCCTGTTTTTGTTTTTTTTTTTTTTGCTCTCCATTTGATTGGTGAGTCTTCCTCCAATCCTTTGTTTTGAGTCTTCATGTGTCCTTGCTTATGAGATGGATCTGGATACAGTAAACCAGTGGGTTTTGACTTTTTATTCAGTTTGCCTGCCTGTGTCTTTGATTGGGGCATTTAATCCATTTAAATTTAGGATTAATATTGATGTTTGTGAGTTTAATATTGTCGTTTAATGCTCACTGGCTATTTTACCCATTAGTTGATGTAGATTCTTCATTATGGAGATACTCTTTACCTTTTGCTAAGTTTTTGGGATGACTGATACTGGTTGTTCCTTTCTGTGTGTAATGCTTCTTTCAGAAGCTCTTGTAAAGCAGGCCTGGTGGTGATGAAATCTCTGAGTGCTTGCTTGTTTGTGAAAAATTTTATTTTTCCTTCATTTATGAAGCTTAATTTGGCTGGATATGAGATTTTGGGTTGAAACTTGTTTTCTTTGAGGATATTGAATATTGACCCCCCCACTCTCTTCTAGTCTGTAGGGTTTCTGCTGAGAGATCTGCTGTGAGTCTGATAGGCTTCCCTTTACGGGTAACTTGACTTTTCTCTCTAGCTGCCCTTAGAATTTTCTTCTTTATTTCAACCCTGGTGAATCTACTGATTATGTGTCTTGGGGTTGCTGTACTTGAGGAATATCTTTGTGGTGTTCTCTATATTACCTGGAGTTGAGTATTGTCCCACGTTACTAGGTTAGGAAAGTTCCTGAATAATATCCTGAAGAATATTTTCCAGCTTGGATTCATTCTCCTCATGACATTCAGACACACCTATCTAATGTAAATTAGGTCTTTTGGCATAGTCCCATATTTCTTGGAGACTTTGCTCCTTCCTTTTTACTCTTTCTTCTCTAGTTTTGTCTTCTGGTTTCATTTCACTAAGTTGGTCTTTGACCTCTGATATCGTTTCTTCTGCTTGATCAATTTGACTGTTAAAACCTGTGCATACTTTGCAGCGTTCTCATATTGTATTCTTCAGTTCCATTAATTCACTTATATTCCTCTCTAAATTGTCTATTTTCATTAGGATTTCGTCAGACCTTTTTTCAAGTTTCTTTACATTGGGCCAGACCATGTTCTTCTAACTCACAGAAGTTTCTTATTATCCACTTTCTGAAGCCTAATTCTGTTAATGGAACGCACTCGTTCTCCATCATGCCTTGTTCCCCTGTTGATGAGGAACTGTGATCCCCTGTAGAGGGAGAGGCATTCTGATTTTGGGTATTCTCAGCCTTTTTACGGCAGTTTCTTCCCATCATTGTAAATTTATCCATCTATTGTCTTTGTAATTACCAACTTTCAAATTAGGTCTCTGAGTGGACATCCAACTTGTTGATTCCCAGCGCCGGAATCTGAGCAACCCACTGCATAGGCTAAAACAGCAGCATTAAGATTCGTGGTGCTTTTCTGCCTGGGAATCTCCAGTCTGGCTTCCCTCTTGAGTCCCTTTTTCAATCAGCTGAATGGGTGACTCTGCCTTCCCGGAGCTCCAAACGTCGACCAAAAGGGGACCCAGTCCCATTTACTCTGCACTGAGAACTGAGGCGCTGGCAAAACTGCCGTGCCAGCCACAAGAGCCATGCTGGCGACCTGTGGGGCTCCTCTGCTGGGAATCTCCTGGTCCGTGAGCAACAAAAATTCACCTGAAAGTGTGGCATCCTCTTGTTCTCTGCGCTTTGACTGGGAGCTACAATCCTGAGCTGCTAGTAATCGGCCATCTTGGATCTCTCTCCAAATTGGGGTAACTTTCATCTTCTAGATCCAGAATTAAATTGAGACTAAATAGAGGCTAGTTCTCAGGCTTACAATTTCAACTGTTTTCTTCTTGAGAACACTTAAAACCTAACCTAGGCCCATGTAACTTGAGAAGGCATTCTATATGGAAATAAATTGCGTTTATTCAAAATATTTTCTTGAATATCTACTATGTTTATTGCCTTATATTAAGCACTTTAGGGAGAAGTAAATATATAGTTCCTACTCTGAAAATCCTTAAATTGTAATTGGGGAGGGTAGAATGTGTTCTGCATTTCAGTTCTACCGATGAAATGTGTTCTGAAATCTTCAAGACACCAGTGTAGCATATATCTTTCTTAGCTATAAAATGGGGATAATAATAACCCTACTTCTTACAATTTTTTTGAGAATTAATTGAGATCCTGTGTTAAATAAAAATAGTAAAACCACACTGAACTTTAGGCACATGGAGCAGCCAAGTAACTCATGCCTAAAAGGTGTCCTGCAACACTGGCAATTCAGATTCATACTTAGCAGAAGCATTTGTTACATGCAGTGAACCTTGAAACCCCAAATGTCAGATCCTTGAATGCCAGATATTTAGTGTGACAAACATTTCAGGTCTCTGTTGCTAGCACACATTCATATATATACAGCTTCCACTCTGGACAGAAGGCAGTGGGGGAGTACCGTCAGTGATGTTTGTCTGAGCACGGCAACTTAATTCCTTTGCAGAACTGGTCACTCTCCATAAATTACATTTTCTTAGTGTGTACACATTCTGCTGATGTTCAAACAACTACCTTAGAACCCTGTAGCTGCCTTCCTATGTGCATGCCTTTCCTTTATGAATAAAGGGAAATAAAGGGGAAATTTAGAAAAAGTTGCGGTATTGACTTGTTTGTTCACTCTAGAGTTACAGAAACATCTTGTAGAAAGTTGTTACTCATCTCAAAGTTAAATGACAATCATCTGCTCTGAGAATTCTTCCCCACTGCCTTCCCTACACTTTGGGGAAAAAAAATTGGCTGGTTTTAGGGGCTCACACTAGTAACAGCAGCACTTTGGGAAGCCAAGTCAAGAGGATCACTTGAACCCAGGCATTTGAGACCAACCTGGGCAACGTAATGGAGACCCCCCCCCCCAACTCTACAAAAAATTAAAATAAAAATCAGCGGGTGTGGTGGCACGTTCCTGTAGTCTGAGCTACTCAGGAGGCTGAGGTAAGAGGATTGCTTGAGCCTGGGATATCAAAGCTGCAGTGTTCTGTGATCACAGTACTATACTCAGCCTGTGTGATAGAGCGAGACCCTGTTTTAAAAATAAATAAATAAATAATTGGTGCTCTTAGGACATCTGATTCCATGACTTGGTTCTTGGACGGCATTTCGGATCCTGCCATGGGCCACCAGAGGGGAGCCCACTCCTCCAAAGAGTGAGTTACTGCTAGATGGTAGTTGGGCAGTACTCCCTTTGGCCTGAGGTGTCAGTGGACACGAGGTGAGGCTCCTCTGCCTTTGGAAGGGAGAGGGAAGAATAGGAAAGACTGCATCTTGTGGTTTGGGTGCCAGCTCAGCCACAGTACAGTAGAATACCAGGTGCACTTCTGAGGTTTTTGACTCTAGGCCCTGGCTCTGGGATAGCACCTCTGGCTCCACCAGGAGCCTGGGGGAACTTGCTGCCCTGAAGAGAAGTATGTGGGTCTGGCTGGCTTTGCTGCCTCCTGATTGTAGAGCCCCAGGACTTTGAGCAAACAGAGGTGGCAGCCAGGGTGTGGTTATAGTAGGCCTTGGGTAAAAGCCAGTCCTACGCTGGCTTCAGGTTTGACCCAGCAAAGCCCTAGGGGTGGTGGCCACAGGAGTACTTGTGAAACTCCACCCCCATCTCCAGGTGGCTCAGAGCAGAGAGAGAGAGAGATACTCCATCTGTCTAGGAGAAATTTAAGGGAAGAGAGAGTCTTTTCCTATTAATCCAGTGAACTCTTGGATTTTGTCCAAGATTTTCGAGGTGGTACCTCTTAAGAGTCTGCAAGAAACGTAGTGCTCTTGGGCTTGATGTCCCCCTTAAATCATGCATCTTAGATCACAACACCCAAGTCCTTTAGAATACCTGGAAAGCCTTCCCAAGAAGGATGGGTACAAACAAGCCCAGACTGCAAAGACTACAATAAATATCTAACTTCAATGCCCAGATACAGATGGACATCTACAAGTATCAGGATGATTCAGGAAAACACAACCTTTCCAAATGAACTAAATAAGGCATCCAGGACAAATCCTGAAGAAACACATATGTAACCTTTCAGATAGAGAATTCAAAACATCTGTTTTGAGGAAACTCAACGAAATTCAAGATAACACAGAAGGAATTCAGAATTCTGTTAGATAAATTTAGGAGATTGAAATAACAAGAATCAGGCAGAAATTCTGAAGTTAAAAAATGAAATTGGCATACTGAAGAATGCTTTGGAGTCTTTTAAAGGCAGAATTGATCAAACAGAAGAAAGAATTAGCTTGAAGACAGGCTGTTTTAAAGTATACAGTCAGGAGACCAAAGATAAAATAACAGATATGCCTACAGGATCTAGAGAATAGCTATAAAAAGGCAAATCTAAGAGTTACTGGGCTTACAGAGGAGGTAGAGAAAGAGATAGGCATATAAAGTTTATTCAAAGGGATAATAGAAAACTTTTCAAACCCAGAGAAAGCTGTTAATATCCAAGTACATGTAGCCTATAGAACACCAAGTAGATTACCAAAGAAGACTACTTCAAGGCATTTAATAATCAAACTCCCAAGGTCAAGAAAGGGAAAAATTTCTTGAAATGAATGATAATGAAAACACAACATATCCAAACCTGTGGGTTATAGGAAAAGCTGTAGGAGGGAAGTTTTATATCTATTTAGTGCCTATACGAAGAAAGGAAAACTTCAGATAAACAATGATGCATCTTAACTAAAAAAGCAAGAGCATCCACATAGATGCACTCTGCATAGCTTTCAAAGAAAAAGGAAAGAAAACAAGAGCAAATCAAACCCAAAATTAGTAGAAGAAAAAGTAAAGATCCGAGCAGAAATACATGAATTTGAGACGAAAACCAATACAAAAGATCAATGAAACAAACAGTTGGCTGTTTAAAAGTTAAACAGAATAGGTAAACCTTTAGCCAGACTAAGAAAAAAAAAAACCAAATAAATAAAATTAGTTTCTAGTTCTTCATCTTTCATCCTGCTTCACCAACACCAGCCCAAGCACACCTGCAAATTACCAGTTTAATCTCTTTCTCTTTCCCCTCCCTCCCTCCCTCTCTCCCTCTCTCTCTCCTCTTCTCTCTCTCTCTCTCTCAGAAGTTCACATTCTCTTTTTGGTGGTTTCCAATCTGCTTCTGTAGGTGGAAGCCTCCTTTTTTTCCCCCTTTTTTCTTTGACTCTGCTGTTTTTCCTCTGAATCTAGAATTTAAAGACATTATTCTATTGATCTAGGTGACAAGCCCCTTCTAAGATCTCTCTATTGGATATAGTACTGTATCATACTGCAACAGAATAAGTCAATAATGCAAGGTACATAAGGTATTATAGATAAATAGCTGAGTGTTTTTCTGTACTATTCCCAAGATCTAAATTATGAGTCTGTTATTTTACAAATCCTACTTTTCTGGAAGAATTGTCAACTGTTTTTGGCTTGGGCCTTGCCATATTTTGTTCTGTTGTAATTCTGTTTTTCCTTCTGTTTCATTCTTCCCCTTCACCCCATCCTCGTTTCTTCTAACTCCTGCAAAATAAAACAAATCCTTGAGTCCAAATCTTTCTCAGGACTTCTGGACTGTTGGTGCCTTTTCAAAGAGCAGGTAATATAATATAGTAAAAGAAATATGGACTTTGATGTCCTGCTCTGATGCCTAGCTGTTACAGGTGGATATACCCAGGTTCTGCACCACATGACTACCCTATCATGCTGTAAGGCCAGAAGGGGTGCTTGATTCATAAGGTAGCCAATCCATAGCCTCTGATGTGTATGGCTCTTGGGGAAAATGTGAACTTCTGAGAGAGAGAGAGAGAAGAGGAGGGAGGGAGGGAGGGAGGGGAAAGAGAAAGAGATTAAACTGGTGATTTGCAGGTGTGCTTGGGCTGGGCCGTCTTTGGTTGTGTGCAGGTTGAAGAAGAAGACCTGGGCAAAGAGAACAAAGCAGAACCACTCATAGTGCGAGTGTACAGCCCCTTAGAGACAGCCAGCCGTCTTTGGTTTCTGACCTTGATCCAGTCCCTGCCATTAGATCCCTATGAGATGTATGTATTCTTGTATCTGCTGTATCTTTACTTGAGCCAGGTTAAATAGAGTACTCTCTTATATACTGTGGAGCAAAACCAAAATACTTACATTCAAAGAACACCAACGGGTCTATCATATATTGAGGAATTCCTTCTCCCATCATTTCTCAGTAACTTTACAATTTTCTTTTATTACTTTGTGTGATTTTCAAGACTCTGTGGCTTAGTGATTAAGGACTTAAGTTCATATTATTTACTGTGGAACTTAGGCAAATTGTACATCCTCTCTGAGCCTTAGTTTTCTCTTCTGGGAAATGAGTGTAGTAATAGGGCTTAGATTTCCATGAGGATTTAATGAGATACTGTGTACAGCAGATGGTACTGGGTATGTAGTAAATGCCCAGTGAATGTTAGCTTATTGTATATAAATGTAGGATATGAAAATTAGTCTATTGTTTTTTAAACTATCTGTGGTAAAAGACCAGTTCTTTTTTTCTCTCAAACTATGACAATCCAATATTTTTGTAAAATACAATAAAAATAACTAGATTTTTAAAAGTACCAACTGTAAAGATATAAAGTATAAGTCCTGAATTAATTATTATAATTTAGCAAACTTATTCTGCCAGGTTATAAAATTTTCTAAATTCTTATCCTTAATTTCTCTACTTATTTTGTTTAGACCAGTAACTACTTATTGACCAGTTACTGGCCTACTTACTTAAAACAGCAACAATTTGCAGACTGGCACTGGTCTGTGGACTGTGAGTAGCACTGTCCTGGTGTATATAGGCAATCTCATGGATATCAGAATATATATGCACTCACATGTAGTTGGGGAAAAATACCCCACTATTTCTGTAAGGTTTTAAGTAGCCAGAAATTCATATATACATTTCTTGACCTGGGGGCAATGTACAAGGGACATCTGACACCTCTGGAATTCCTTCCTTATATGGTTGTTATTCTGCTGCTTCCTAGGTGAGGGTTGTCATTTTTTTTTTTTTCCTGAGTTGTGCTGTTCTTCCCTACTTGTTCTTTACTTCATAAGGAAACTGTGCTCCCTAAAGGCCAGATATTTGTCTTAGACAAATCAACTGTGCTAAGTAGTTGAGAATAGGATACTGAATACTGCTGTCTTATGGACTGAAGTGAAGCCATCACTGGCAGTGTGATCAGAATAATAACTTTTAAAAAAAATTTGAGACAGGATCTCTTACACAGGCTGGAGTGCAGTGGCACAAATCATGGCTCGCTTCAGCCTTGGCTTCCCTGGGTTCAGGTATCCTTCCCACCTCAGCCTCCTGAGTAGCTGGGACTATAGGTATGTGCTACCATACCCAGTTAATGTTTATATTTTTTGTAGAGATGGGGTTTTGCCATGTTACCCAGGCTGGTTGAGACCAGCCTGGGCTCAGGGGATCCTCCTGCCTTCCCTAAGTCCTGGGATTGCAGGTATGAGCTACAATTCCTGGCCCAGAAGAATAACTTGTAATGATCCTTCATGCAACCAGATTGCATGGTTGTAGACAAAGGAGAAACCATAGAAGAGGTTGGCATTTGCATTTTCCTTCAATGCAAAGACAGTGACAGACCGTGATACAGAATTGCAAACAGCAGGTTCTAGAAACAGTAACTGTGACTGATGACTAAAAGTCTTTACAAATGCTAGCATGTGACCAGGGTTAGGTATTTCTTCCAAGTATTTTAGGGGAGACTGAGCATTATAGTATCAGATTTTATCTTCAGAGAAATTACAAATTTCAATTAAAAAGCACATATAAAGTGCCAGACATTGTGTTAAGATGTTGTATGTCTCTCACTTAATTCTCCCCATAGATTGATCCTCATTATTCTACTGAGCAAATGAGATTTAGACAGATTAAGCAGCTTGTCCAAGGCATTCAGTTCATAAGTGACTGAACCTACTTTTGAACCTAGGTTTGCCAGACTCATAGTTGGATTTTCTCGTAAGTGGATTTTCTGGATTTACCTTAAAAAAAAAAAAAATTGCAAATAACTTTGCTGGAACCATTTGAGAAGAAGTTGCCAACTTGATGCCCCATTACTCCCAAATACTTTAGTGTTTATTTTCTACAAGAACATTTTTTTTGGTAACTAAAATAAAATGTCCAAAATCAGGAAATTAGCATTGATAGATTGTTATCATCTAATCCCCAGATTTAATATTGTTTTTCATAGCACATGTCCCCACAGTGTCTGTTTATTTCCTTCTGGAACAGTTCCCTAGACTTTTCCTGATGTTCATGAACTTGGCACTTTTGAAGATGACAAACCAGTTATTTTGTTGTATTTTCCTTGATTTTATTTTATCAGTTATTTCCTCATGTGATGCAAGCAGTGTACCTTTGCAGTAATATCATATATATTATGTTGCTCTCATTGTACTCTGTTGTTACAGGGCACACATTTTCAGTTTGACTCATTGCTAATGATAACCTCTCTTACCACTTTATTGGGGTGATACCTGCTGGGCTTCAGTACTGTAAAGTTACTCTTCTTATTTTTGTAATTAATGTTTTGTGGGAATGTATTTTAAAACTATGTAAATATCCACCTTTGTGACACTGTTTACTCATTAGATTTGTATCTACTTAGACTCACAGTTTTCTGTTTTATTCAGTGGATTTTGATCTTCTGTTACCTGTTTTGATGCCCAAATTGTCCTAGATTTGGCCTATAAGAGTGTCTTTATGCTTTCTGTGTCTATTTTGAGTAGTGTCTTTCTTTCTGGCACAAGAAAGATATTCTAAGCTCACCTTGTACTTTCCCTATCCCAGCCCTAGCTCATCAGTCATATCTCTAAGGAGCCTTGGTTCTTTTTAATGGAAAGAAGTATTTAGAAGCCAAGATCTGGGTAATCAGTGTGCTCATTACCATTGAGGTGTTGCTACTTCCACATCCTTTCAGTGGATACATTTACATTTACCTATTTTTTTTTAATGTTTATTTCTATATTTAAATATACTGAAAATTGTGAATTAGTACTGATAACTTCAGTTCCAGCCCAGTACCTCAGGATTCATTCTAGTTTTCTCACTTTCTTTTTTAGTATTCTCTTACAACAAGAAACTTGGTTTCCATTATCCTTGATACACTTAAATGATTGGTCTTCTTGTATGTTATCAACCTCCTGTCTTTGACACTATTTTCTCCCCTTCATGGGTGTCCTCTTTTTCCTTTTTGGGTGCTGACTCCATGTTCCAGACACTTCTTGTCTTTTGATGTAGACACCCTTCTCTCTCCACATGGGCTCTTAAGTAAATTTTCTTAATGATTTGATTGTACTAACACAGTTCTTTTGTTCGGTGTTTTTGCTGCCACACGTAAGTTGTAATGTTAAAAGTTCTCAAAAATGATTGCCCTGCTGGTAGGAGAGCACCAACTAGGATATCTAAATGGGAGGAATTGAAGATTAGAACTGAAAAATAACATTTCCTGGGATCATCCTGGGTCAATAATTAGTATTCTGCAAGTGATCACAGACTAGAATTGTTCTTTTGACAAGAAATCGGGACTTAATGCTCTGTCTCTAGAAGTCTCATTAGAGATTTAGAAGAAAAACAAGTTTTACTGTTCTTTAGAGGATGTAGAATGAGATATGTTCCTGAGTAGGCGAGAGGGCTAGGAATGGATGGGAAAAAAAGAATTTTTATTAAAAGTACTAATTGGATGAGGCCTAACCATTGATATGATATTATGCATTCAGTAAGCCAAACAAGATAGAGAGTTGGGTTAGGGAATACTAGATGCAGAGACTCCTCCTTAGAAGGGTGAAAAAAAGCAGACCACCTGACAGAGGATCGGTAGGAAGTCTGAAGCTGGGTTGTTAATATGTAGTTGTGGTGTTGGTAATATTTGGTGTGTGCTGCTCCATTGGGAAAATAAGCAGTAAGGATGGCTAGCAGTTACTATGAGAGAGGCTTTAAATCTTTTCACAGTGAGAAATGGAACAGGGAGTAAGCAAGACTGGCACACTCATTCCCAAGACCACATGTTTTCTCAGACCAAGTTGATAAAATTTATTCAAACCCTGCATTAAGAAAATTTAAGCCTGGGCCGGGCACGGTGGCTCAAGCCTGTAATCCCAGCACTTTGGGAGGCCACGGCGGGTGGATCACGAGGTCAAGAGATCGAGACCATTCTGGTCAACATGGTGAAACCCCGTCTCTACTAAAAATATAAAAAATTAGCTGGGCATGGTGGCACGTGGCCGTAATCCCAGCTACTCGGGAGGCTGAGGCAGGAGAATTGCCTGAACCTGGGAGGCGGAGGTTGCGGTGAGCCGAGATCGCACCATTGCACTCCAGCCTGGGTAACAAGAGTGAAACTCCGTCTCAAAAAAAAAAAAAAGAAAATTTAAGCCTTTTCTTTTCTTTTCTTTCTTTCTTTCTTTTTTTTTTTTTTTTAAGATGGGGTCTCTCTATGTTGCTTGGGCTGGTTCTAAACTCCTGGCATGGTGCAAGCCACCATGCCAAGTTGACCCTATGTGTTTGAAACACCTAAGAGTGTGTCCAGCAATCTGGCAACATTATGAATTCCTACCCCTTAAATTATTATTATTATTATTATTATTTTTTGAGACAGAGTCTCACCCTGTCACCAAGCTGGAGTGCAGTGGCACAATCTAGGCTCACTGTGCAGTCTCCACCTCCCAGGTTCAAGCATTTCTCCTGCCTCAGCCTCCTGAGCAGCTGGGATTACAGGCATGCACCACCACGCCCAGCAATTTTTTTTTTTTTTTAAAGTAGAGACAGGGTTTCACCATGTTGGCCAGGATGGTCTTGATCGCCTGACCTCATGATCTGCCTGTCTTGGACTCCCAAAGTGTTGGGATTACAGGTGTGAGCCATGGTGCCTGGCCTAAAATTCTTAAAGATATAATTCAGTGCAGTTAAACAAACTGCAGTCACGTGTCACTTAACAATGAGGATACGTTCTGAGTGAACTTCCTTGAGTGAACTTCCACAAACCTGGTTGGTGTAGCCTACTATACACCTAGGCTATCTGGTATAGGCTATTGCTCCTAGGCTACAAACTTGTGCAGCATGTGACTAATACTATAGGCATTTGAAACACAGTGATAAGTGTTTGTGTATCTAAACATAGAAAAGGTATAGTAAAAGTACAGCATTGTAATTTTATGGGATCACTGTCATATATGTGGTTCATCATTTACAGAAATGTTATGTGGCACATGACTGTTTATGCTATTTGGAGTATTTTTAAGCAAGAGAAAGATGTATTAGGGAATCAAATACAGATGCTTCTTGATTTACAATTAGGTTACATCTTAGTAAACCCATTGTAAGTTGAAAATACCAAAGTCAAAAAAGCACTTAATAACACTTAAGCTAACAAACATCATAGCTTAGGCTATAACATACCTTAAACATACTGTAGTTGGGCAAAAATCATCTAACACAAAGCCTATCTTATAATAAAGTGCTAAACCTCTCATAATTTATTAAATACTGTACTAATGTGAAAAACAGAATGGCTGGATGAGTACTCAAAGTATGGTTTGTACTGAATGTGTATTGCTTTTGTACCATGGTAAAGTTGAAAAAGTATGCAACTCAAACCATTCAAAATCAGGGAACATCTATATACAGTAGTGGTCAGAACGGTGATTAACTCAGAACTAAAACGTGTGTGTGTGTGTGTGTGTGTGTGTGTAATTGGTCCAGTGGTTACTGAAATTTGCTTCAATTTTTTTTTTTCTATTTCACTGTACCGGACTTCAGTAATTTGGTAGGTATTTACTCCCTTAAAATCTGAGGGAAACTGCTTCTTTGATGGGAACCTTTCTTAGATTATTGCTCAATATTTATTTTTAGGAAACAATCAAATCCCCTGTGGTTATTAAAATAATTTAGTATCAGGCCAGGAGCTAGTGACCCCAGGAGTTTGAGACCATCCAGGCCAACATGGTGAAAACTCCATCTCTACAAAAATACAAAAAAAACCCAAAAATTCAGGAGGCTGAGACACAAGAATCACTTCAACTCAGGAGGCAGAGGTTGTAGTGAGCTGAGATGGTGCCATTGCACTCCAGCTTGGGTGATAGAGCTCCCACCCCCAACAAAATAAGTATAATAATAATAAATAATAATTTAGTGTCATTAAAATCAGAGAATTCAGAAGGCTTGTTGGGATTTAAAGTCATACCCAGAAGAGAAACATATAGGTCAGGTATCAAAAATGTATCAGATTTTTCATAATGGGAAAATATGAACAGTTGGTAAGTCTGGGTAAATGGTATATGGCAGATCCTTGAATTATGCTTGTAGTTTTCAAAAGTTTGAAATTAAGTAAAAATTAAAAGCCGCAAAAGATTTTGCATGTCAAGGTTCTAGCCTGTTTCTTCTGGTGTACTGAGAGGCCAGAGGAATCCATTCTAGGGACTAAGTATTGACAGAATTTGGTTCTGTGGCAAGAATTACCTAGTGTCCTAACACTAAACACTTTGGAATCCTTGACTCAAATTTCAGGACAAGAAATAAAGAAAACTTGGAATAGGATTGGAATGAAATCTCCCAGTGATTATAAAAAACACTTAGTATGTGTTGGTTTAGGACTATCATTTATTTTTCCTCAGTTTTTCTGTGATGATCCACATTGAAAATTTGGATTAATGATGTAGTTTGTGATGTTGATATAAGTGTATTTGTTCCTGGACATTTGAGTGATGGCTTTCAGCATTAGGAATAATTTTTAGTTCTTATTTGATCATAATTATTAGTCTCCATTTTCTGTAAAGTGCTTTACATTGAACAAAGTGCTTTTGTAGTTCTTGTTAATTTTCACCCATAATCCAAGACCTTTTTTCCTAAGCCATCTCGTGCCCCAGCCCTTACTTGCTGAACTCTCTTATTGTATATACTGAACACATTTTTAAATTGAAGAGATACTGTTCTGTGTATCTTGGCAGGGGAATGAGTCATGAGTTGGCCAGTGTCTCACTAGTTGAGATTAAATTTTTGCTTGTACTTGTTGATTTGACTGTCTTCTGAGTAGTATTAGGAAGACATTCTAAATTTGTTGTTGATGCCTGAAGTTTTCCAGCACATTTCCTTATGTTGCCAAGTTCTTCTGCAGTGACTGAATCCACTCTTCATTCCAGTCAGCAGTCTCACACTTAATTCCAAGGTTTACTTAAGATTTTTTTCCTGAAACAGCAATGCTTGCTTTTATATTTGCATATTTTTCTCTGTCTTAGTAGCAGAAACAAGGGCTTCATTTTGCATCTGTATCAAATTCTTCTCATTGATATATCTTGTCTTTATTAGTTATTTTCTAGCTGAGCGCAGTGGTTCACCTGTAATCCCAGCACTTCCGGAGGTCAAGGCAGGAGGATTGCTTGAGCCTAGGAATTCAAGACCAGCCTGAGCAAAACCCCATCTGTATAAAATTTAAAAAAGAAATGAGCCGAGTATGGTGATGTGTGCCTGTAGTTTCAGCTACTTGAGAGGTTGAAGTGGGAGGATTTTTTGAGCCCAGAAGTTGGAGGCTGCAGTGAGCTGTGATCTTGCCACTGCACTCCAGCCCGGGTGATAGAGCAAGACTCTGTCTCAAAAAAATTAAAAGAAAATAATAATACTTGCTTTCTAAGATGATTTTTGGTTGTATAGGAGGGAAAGAAAATATAGAATATGAAAGTTAGTTGTATATGCTGAGTTTTCCTCTCCCTTCCTTTGGGTTAAACAGCCTCGCTCCTATTTATTTTAACCTGTTTGCAATTTATTAGGCCTTGTAGGACCCAGCTGTTATACCTCACTCAGCACATTACCCATTTTGCTTTTTTAAAGTGACTGAGGCAGCAGCTGTTCTTGCAGCTCCACACAGAAGGCCCACATAAAGCTGGGCTTAGCACGAAAGCCCCACTCGAAGAGCATTAATTCACCAACCCAGTCTTTCTATTTTGTTGGCCACTCAAAGTCTATACTTGCCTCTGTGAGGCTTCAGAAATAATGGACGAATCCTCTGTTAATGAAAATACACCCTCAGATACCACATACACTTCAAGTGTGGTATTAGAATAGCAGATGTGGCTGCTCAGCTTATTTTGGACTTTTGTAAGTATATGGAAGTGTGAGAATGTTCATTTTGAGAATCTATAAAGAGTTAGGACTTACAGGTATGATTTGAAACACCCAAGAATATCTCTTGGAGTCACACACAATAGCTATTATTTTAGTTGAATGAGATTGTATTTAACAGATTGCTAGTTGGACCAGGTGCTATATACTTTATTCCCTCTCTTCCCTTTGTAAGGCTTTCAGGCCTATTAATTTTTTTTGTTCGTTTGTTTTTTGTTTTTATAACATTGGGGTAAGTGTTTATTTTGGCTGAAGGTACTTTAAATGGGTGGATGAGTGACAGATAATATTTGTCTTCACTATTGACTGTAAACTGGGATTAGAATAGTTTTTTGTTTTTTTTTAAACAGTCAACTAGAAACATGTGCTACGAAGTCAATAATTATGACTTTAGTGAAGATTCCACTTAAGTGAAAATCTGAATTATTCATGCAATTTGCCAACATTTATATCCATTAATAAAGTGGTAGTTTATTTTGAAAAAAAAAAAACAAAAAACAAAAAACAAAAAAACTTTGCACTTAGTTTCTGTTGGCATTTCTCTCCCTCAAGTTCATTTGTCAACGTTATCATGAATATACTCTGTCAGTATATTCATGGCGTTTAATTGTTTCACTGCTTTTTCTTAGTTTCTGAGTTGCTGGTTTGGTAAAACTGTCATGATATTCTTCTCTGTCAGTTTTCAAATGTTCCAAAGCGGGCAGAACAACTTTGAGTGCCATAGATTATTAATCGCCCTTTGCAGAGTAGTTAAATATACCCAGGGTAAAGGAAATTTTATGGGAGTAAATTCTATGCTCCATTCTAGGTTGATAGCATTTGAAGCAAATTTCATTTCATTGGTGGGTGGCCTCAATAACTAACCTTTAAAAAGCGTGGATTCGTAAAACTGTGTTACAACACCACTTATGAAAATATCTGAAGAACTACAAAGTTGTGAAAGAGCTGTAGCAGTGCCCAATACAACTTTTTGTAATGATAGAAATGTTCTCTATCTGTGCTCTCCAACATGGTAGTTACATGTGGTTATTGAGTACTTCAGATGTGGCTAGTGTGACTTACATTTTCCATTTTATTTAATTTTAGTTCATTTAAATAGCTACATGTGCCTCTTGGTTCCTGTATTAGATAGCACAGCTTTGAAGCATTACACTGAGTACCTAAGCTAGAGTTTGTGAGAAAAAGTGATCCTTTGTGATTTTCTTGAAGGTGAAGGCCTCCATATGGCCTGGAGTGAGAAATTGTTCATGACTTGTCTTGATTTTTTCATGAAATAATTTAAGGACTGTCTTCTCCTTCAAATCTGGGAAAATTCTGAAATGTTCTTTCTCATCTACTTAGAAAGAATTTACTGTCACTTTCAATGAGCAATACAGTGGCCAGTATATTGTGTTGTAGGTTTGATTAGTACTCTATCTCAGAGAGAGAGCTTTAGTGACCTGAGAGTTTATTGCCTATCTGCAGGAAAATAATAAACTTTTACTTTACTAAAAATTGCCAGACTTGGAAGTAGAAATAGCAGCTTTTGCCTTTCCACAACAAATAATTATTCTTTTGGCTACTTCCCATACCTGTCACCTTTACCTTCGTTATTTTCTTTGAAAAACTTTCTACCCACAAGATTCTGTGCTTTAAGAAAATTTCATATGTAGGAGAATTTGGGAGTGATTGTTCACAATAGTGTTCTTTTTAAGGTAGTCTTTTCAGGTTCCTCTAACTCCTAGCAGCCCTAAAGTTTTGTCATTAACCTCAAGGTATTCAAGTTGTCAGTTGAAGATTAATCAGAAATGAATCTATGTAAACCAATGGGAATATAGGTTAGTGTACCAAAACAGTATTTTTTTTTTTTTTTTTTTTTTTTTTTAGACAGAGTCTTGCTCTTTCTCCAGGCCCCAGGCTGGAGTGCAGTGGTGTGATCTCTGCTCACTGCAACCTCCACCTCCTGGCTTCAAGCAATTCTCCTGCCTCCTGAGTAGCAAAACAGTATTTTTTATCATATATTGGGTGAAGTGAAGCATACTATGCCCAAGAAACTGTCCAGTTAGCCATGAACTGCTGAGCGATCTTCTCCTATTTCCATGTACTTCATTATAAGGTGCCTTAGTTTCTGTGCTTATACTATCACAGCACAAAATTTATTTTTGGGAAGTTTAATAGAACTAATGAGATAACCATAATAATGGTTTCACTCAAGTTCATTTTGTGACTCAGATGAATGGTTCTTAGCAGGTGCTGCAAAAAGGCTAATTTTGTCTTTTTATAAATAGGGTCTCACTTACAGCAGCCTTACTCTATCCATAACCCAGATTACTCCATCACTGATAAATAGGTTTGTAGGAAGATTGGCTTGGTGGAGGGACTCACTACAACTTTTTTTTTTAAGTCTAAAAGCACTCATGGTTGTAATGTAGAAAACTAAGGGAAGTTTTGAAGGGCATTATTCTTATTCAAGACGTGCTTTACTGGTAGTGTTGTAAATGCTGAAAAAAAGGAGAAAGTTTTATTAATAGAGGTAGGATAATAGTCTGAATTAGCTTATGTGGTTTATATTTGAAACATATTTACAGTACATTTAAAAAATTTATTGAGGTATATTTAACTTGTATATATCCGAGAAATCATCACAATTAAGATAGTGAACATATTTATCATTTATAAAAGTTTTCTCTTGCCCCTTTGTAATCTTTCCCTCCTATTTCTGCTTTACCATTATCTTAGGCAACCACTGTTCTGCTTTCTGTCACTATATATTAATTTGCATTTTGTACACTTCTATATAAATGAAATCATACATTATTATTATTATTTTTTGAGACAAAGTCTTGCTCTGTTGCCCAGGCTGGAGAGCAGTGGCGTGATTTTGGCTCACTGCAACCTCTGCCCCTCCGCTGGGTACAAGCGATTCTCATGTCTCAGCCTCCTGAGTAGCTGGGATTATAGGTACCTGCCACCAGGCCTGGCCAATTCTTATATTTTTTAATAGAGATGGGGTTTCACCATGTTGGCCCAGCTGGTCTCGAACTCCTGACCTCAAGTGATCTGCCACAGCCTCCCAAAATGCAGGGATGCCTTACAGGCATGAGCCACTGTGACCAGCCTACAATGTTGAATAGAGGTGGCGAGAGCAAACATCCTTTTCTGTTGCTGATCTGAGAGGGCAAGCTTTTAGTCTTTCACCATTAAGTATGAGATAAGCTATACGGTTTTCATAGATGCTCTTGATTAGGTTAAGGAAGTCCCCTTTTATTTCTGGTTTGCTGAATTATTTTTTTAATTTTCATTTTTTTCCCAAATCAAGAATGAATGTTGAACTTTGTAAAATGCTTTTTCTTTTCTTTCTTTCTTTTTTGTTTTTTTGGAGACAGAGTCACACTCTGTCACCCAGGCTGGAGTGCAGTGGCATGATCTCAGCTCATTGCAACTGCCGACTCCTGGCTTCAAGCAATTCTCCTGCCTCAGCCTCCTGAGTAGCTGGGGTTACAGATGCCCACACCATGGTCGGGGAATTTTTGTATTTTTAGTAGAGACGGGGTTTTTGTCAGTCCGATCTCGAACCCCTCATTTCAAGTGATCTGCCTACCTCAGCCTCCCAAAGTGCAGGGATTATAGGTGTGAGCCACCATGCCCTGCTGTAAAATGATTTTTCTATGTCTGTTGAGATCATGTGGTTTTTCTCTTTTAATTTGTTAATGTAAGGACTTAATTACACTAGTTGGGTTTCAAATATTAAAGCAATCATGCATTTTTGGAATAAATTCCATTTGGTTGTGATGCACTATATTGTTGGATAAAATTTTGCTGAGAATTTTTGGGTCTATATTTCATCATGGATGTTAGTCTAGTTTTATCTTGTAATGTCTTTGTCTGGTTTTGTTATTAGAGTACTTCTGAACTCACAGACTGAATTAGAAAGTATCCCTTTCTCTTTAATTTTCTGTTAGGAGTTTGTTTAGAGTTGCTGTTTTTTCTTTAAATGTTTGGTAAGATTCACGAATGAAGCCATCTATACATGGCACTTTCTTTGTCAGAGGGTTTTAACTGCAAATGCAATTACTTTGATAAAGGTATAGGGCTATTCAGAAATACCTATTTCTTCTTGAGTGAGCTTGTCTTTCAGTTAATTTGTACGTTTCCTGTAACTTAACATATATGGCATGAAGTTGTTAATAACATTTCATTATGTTTTTAATATCTCTAAAACTAGTGAAGACGCCTCTCATTTCTGATATTGATAATTTGTGTCTTTTTTTCCCCCTAGTCGGTCTAGCTAGACGCTTATCAATTTATTGGTCATCTCAAAGACCCCTCTTTTGGTTTCATGGCTTTTTCTCTTTTTTTGTTTCTTGACTTTCCACTTTAATCTTTATTAATTTCTTCTACTTTGAGTTTAATTTTTTCTTATTTTCTTCTTTCTTAAGGTCAGAACTGAGTTTGATTTGACATCTTTTCTAATAAAGATACTTAATGCTAAAATTTTTTAGCTCGTTACTGCTTCAGTGGCAGCCTACAAATTCTGCTGTGGTGGTGTTTTAATATCCATCTCTGCTAATTCTAACATCTTCATCAGTTCTGAGTTGGTCATGATTATTCTTTTCATGGTGGGTCATGTTTTCTTAAATCTTTGTGTATTTGATTATCTGTGTTTGGGTGGCAGATATTGTGAGATTTACTTTGTTGGGTGCCACATATTTCTGTAAACCTACAAATCTTGAGCTTTGTTCTAAGATGCAGTTAAGTTACTTGGAAACAATTTCATGTTTTGGATGAAATTTCATTTTTTGGCTTGAATGGGGTGTGTGTTTAAAGGTGGGTTTGGGGAGGTGCTCAGTATGGAGTTAACTGTTCTCTACTTCCAAGATTAGACCTTCTTGAGTACTTTTTGCAATAGCCCTGAATTATGAGTTTTTCCAGTCTGACATTGGGCATAGGCCCTATTCCTTGCCTTCTCTATGTGCATGTCAAGCCCTGTCAAAACAATCCATTATGATGGTTCTCTCCCTGGCTGCAGATAGTTTTTTCATATGCATGTACTGACTTGTACTTGGCTGAATAATCAGGACCCTCTCCTCATATACAACTCTTTCTTGCATGTTTTTCTGTTCTGTGAACTCTTGCTGCTTTGTTCTTGTCAGGGCTTTTAGCTCATTTCTTTAACTCAGCACGTCTGCTGAGTAGGCCCAGCTATATAATTAGCAGGGCCCAGTGTAAAATGAAAATGTGAGTCTTTATTCAAAGTTACTTAGTTTCTTAAAATTCTAATTTTAATCAGATCATTAAAACAAGCCCTACACCCTTCTGAGCTGCAGCTGCACAGGTTACATGGCTACCAAAGCAGGACTGCTGCTGGACTCCACTTCACATTCCCTTCTCTGTTGCATGGCCCAGTAATTCTCTCCAGTGCAGTTAGCCAAGACAGTTGTAGGTCTCCTTTGTTTCCTGTCTCTTAGAGGTCACTGTCCTTTTCTTTGCCAGATGTCCGGAGTCATGAAAATTGTAATTTTTGTCTGTTTTTTTGTTTGTTTTTTTGTTTTGGTTGTTTCAGGCAAGAAGATAAATCCAGTCCCTGTTAACCTGCCTTGCTTGGATGTAGTCGTTTTTAGTGTACATTTTGTTTAAGGACTTTGTATCTGCTTTTGTGTCAAACTAGGCACAAATTTCTCTATTTGGCCTCTTGGCTTGATGCCTTGTTTAGAGCTGTTTGGGTAAAATCTCTCGTATCATTTGCTGATCTGTTTTCCAATTTGTTTTCCTGGTAACATCAACTCATTTTCTGAATTGTATCACTTGATTTCAAGCAAGTGTTAGCTTGGTGCTTGAAATCAAGCACCTTTCTACTGCATTTAAATGCAAACTGCCAATGGGTGAGGACAATTCTCTTTTTCCACTTTCTGTATAGTACATTCCCTTGCAGCATTTGATCGGCATTTGTGCAGCAAGGTATTAACAGCTTTTCAGATATACCCTGCCCTATTAGCAAGAATATACAGTGATACAAAAATGAATTTGTCAAGAGTTTTATGGCTTCATGATCTATCATACAATATTAATCCTGCTGCAGTTTGTTATTAAGTCATTTTTCATCTCCCCTCAAATTAATGTTGACGTTCTATTACTGGATTTGTTCTTGTCCCCAGATTAAAACATAAAGGAAAAAAGTCTTCCCTGCTACAATATTAAAATTAATTGTAGGGTAAGCAGTACCTAGCTTGGTGAAGTAGATTCCTGCTGGAAAATTTATAACGGGAATTTATTTCTCTGCTTTCTATTTGTTCTTGTGCACAAAAAAGCACAATTGGAATATACTTCTAAGGGCACCAGGAGAACATAGCAAGGAGCAGGGGGTAAATTTAAAGTACAGAGTTTTCTAAAAGGGAAATGAGAAATCAGCAGTCTGAGCCTAAGGCAACCATAACTTAGCTGGTACTTCCAGCCTAGAGGCTGATAGAGACACTTGTGGTGATAGATGTATAGGTAGAAGAATTTGGGCTGACTTAGGATACTCTTTTGTTCATAGGAATAACTTGTTTCTTATATTTAGAGACATTTGGGGCACTTAAACATGATGAGGTCAACACTTATAAATCAGAGTATGACCTTGTTCAGATGTCTGGAGTGAGAAGACAGTTGTTAACCTTTGTTTCAAAATTTGGACTAAGTGATGCTTTTCTGTGAATGTTATTTATTTAAAGTAACTATTTTTACCCATATTGAAGCTGGGATCAGCTTCATGTCTATGACCGCTGTAATGAGATCTTAGGGTATTGTGAATTTTGGTCATGGTTAGGTAGGTGCTTTAGAATACTAATTGTTACTGTAGGATCATAGAGTTCTCAAGAAGTTTTGTTATAAATTCTAAATTTAAAATATTTATGTAATATGTATAAATATATATGTATATTTTTGATGTGAAACACCAAAATATATATAGAGTATGACTTTAGGTGGTGGCTTATGGGGAAATAATGTTATTTAAAACATTTTTCCTTGTAGAAAATCAACATGAATTGTGTAAACCAAAAGAGTATCTGAGAAGTCTCAGTCAATTTAGGAAGTCTGTTTTGCTAGGGTTAAGGATGCACCTGTTACAAAGCCTCAGAAGGTCCTAATTACATGTGCCCAAGATGGTTGGGGCACAGCGTGTTTTTTAATACATTTTAAGGAGACATGAGACATGAATATATATAAGATGTATAGTGGTTCAGTCTGGACAGCTCAAAGTAGGGAGAGGGCTTCTGGGTCCTAAGTAGGTAAATGACAGTTTCATTCTTTCCAGTTTCTGATAGCCTTTCACGGAATAGGCAACTTACAGAAATAGTCATTTAATAACTTAGTCTGGCTTAGTGAAACAATAGCACAAAGGAAGCAATCAGATATGCATTTGTCTCACATGAGCAGAGGGATGACTTTGAGTTCTGTCTGTCCTTTGTCCACAAGGAATGTCCTTTTGGGCAAATTTGTAGGCCAAAGGAGTTATGTAGCTTTTTTTAATCATTGTAGGTATCTTATTTAGGGATAGAATGAGAGGCAGGTTTGGCATATGCAGTTCCTGGCCTGACTTTTTCGTTTTGGGGTCCTGAGATTTATTTTCCTTTCACAGTTGTACAATAAAAATTTAGCCAGCTATATATATATATATATTTACATTTGTAAATGACATAAGCAGTGGAGCAGCCTTCTAGAGGGTGAAAGATGATGGAAATACAGTCATGTAATATACCATCCTTAGAGTGTGGGTTTTTTTTTTTTAATAAAGTTAATTGTAAAATAGCCTCAGGCAGCTCCTTCAGGAGGTATTCCAGAAGAAGGCATTGTTACCATAGGAGATGATAGCCTGTTACTGCCCCTGAAGACCTTCCAGTGGGAAAAGGTCCTTGTTGAGGTGGAAGACAGTGATGCTGATGATCCTGGCCCTGTGTTAGCATAGGCTGACGTATGTGTTTGTGTTGCAGTTTTTAACAAAAAGTTTATAGAGTAAAACATGAAATAAAAATGTTTTAAATTAGAAAAAAGCTTATAGAATAAGGATATAAAGAAAATATTTCGTATAGCTGTACATTGTATTAGTGTTGTAAGTTAAATGTTAATACAAAAGAGTCCAAGGTTTAAAAAATTTAAGTTTATAATATAAAAAATTACAGTGAGCTAAGGTTAGTTTATTATTGTAGAAGGAAAAACATTAAAAAAATAAATTTAGTGTACCATGTGTACAGTTTATAAACCCTGCAGTAATGTGCTGAGCACATTTACTGACTATTCACTTACCCACAGCACCTTCTAGTTCTGTAAGCTCCATGCATGGTAAGTGTCCTATATAGGTGTACTATTTTTTATCTTTTTTTTTCCTTAAGACAAAGTTTCACTCCTGTTGCTGAAGCTAGAGTGCAGTGGTGTGATCTCAGCTCACCACAACCTCTGCCTCCCAGGTTCAAGTGATACGCCTGCCTCAACCTCCCAAGTAGTTGGGATTACAGGAGCTTGGCACCATGCCAGGCTAATTTTTATTTTTAGTAGAGATGATGTTTCTTCATGTTGGTCAGGCTGGTCTCAAACTCCCAACCTCAGGTGATCTGCCTGCTTCAGTCTCCCAAAATGCTGGGATTACAGACATGAGCCACCACTGTGCCCGGCTCCCCCACTCTCCCCACTTTTTAAAACATCTTTTATATGGTGTTTTTACTGTACCTTTTCTATTTTCAGATATGTTTAAACAAATACCGTTGTTTTATAATTGCCTGCAATATTCAGTACAGTAACGTGCTTATACAGGTTTGTAGCCCAAGAGCAATAGGCTATACCATGTAACCTTAAATGTATAGTAGGCTACACTATCTAGATTTGTGGAGTTCACTCTATGATGTTCACACAGCAATGAAATTGCATTTTTCAGAACATAACCCCATTGTTCAGCAACACATGACTGTACTTTGGGCAGTGCAGTGAAAAAAACTGAAGGATAATGATTTATTTCATGATTGCATCATCCATCAGTGTAGGTGATTCCATCATTTTTCTTGTCCTTATTTTATGGTCTTTTTGAAAGCATATTAGATATAATTGATGAGTAGTGGTAACTCTCTGAATGATGAAATGTTAACATGTTTCAAGATATAGGAAAAGTAAGATCACTAAACTTCTATAATGTGTCTTTATAAAATGAGTCAGATGGACCAGTATGGTAATTGCAAGACAGAGCGTTCAATTTCTTCCAGTGACTCAAAGAATAAAGGTTATGAAATGCCAATTCTTACAATTAGTTAGAACTGCTGAGAAAGAAACTCAAAATTAAAATTGAGTCAGATGAACTAAGAGTTAAGAGCTTTAAAGGTAAAACTTTCCAGGTTTCCCGTTGTACATAGGAGAAGAGGGAACATATTATCAGTGCCAGAGCCATGGGTTAGAATGGAGGCTCAGATGTGCGGTCTTAGCTTTCACATTCCCTCAGGCTGTACTAGAAAGCAAACTAAAAATTTGAACAACATTCATTTCCTTATGAGTTCCTCTATAGTTGATGGTAGAATGTAATGATGGTGCTTTCTGAAAACCTTTAAATTGTATTTGATTATATAAATTGAACAAAACAGTATTTCACTGCTTGTTGGCAGAAATCTTTATCTTAAAAGTGATTTATTTAAAACTTCTACTGAAGCCCAGTGGACTTCCACATCCTAGCATCCAGGTGTCCAGTACTCTTGTCTACAAGCATGAGCTACTCTTCCAGAGTCTAAGGCAGGATTCAGCTAGATCCAACTAAGCTGGTCTGAACAAGTGGAACGGACCAGTTGTAGTTGTTGTCAGTGCATCTCCCTTTTGAGATTATAGAAGCCCGGGACTTAGTCTGTTAATTATCAGAGAAGTCATTGCTGTATGTGTTAAATGTTCATGGGGCTACTGCAGCAGTTATACTTTTTTCAGCAGTCTCAAAAAGTTGAATATGAAAATTATCTGAAAAAATTAAAAAGGGATGGCTTATTTCTGTTCAACTATATGACTTCCAGTACTTGAGTTTTATTTTCTCTCAGTCTCTAGCTTATTAAATAAAGATCTGGAAACTAGGCAATGAGTGTTCATTGAGCATCAGGTATGTAAGGCACTAGAGTAATGTGATACTCAAGGGAATTCTTTTATTAAAAAAAATTTAGCATCCTGACCAACATGTTGAAACCCCGACTCTACTAAAAATACAAAAATTATCCAGGTGTGGTGGCACGTATCTGTAGTCCCAGCTACTCGGGATGCTGAGGCAGAAGAATTGCTTGAACCCAGGAGGCAGAGGTCACAGTGAGCCGAGATTGCACCACTGTGCTCCAGCCTGGCGACAGAGTAAGACCCCGTCTCAAAAAAAAAAAAAAAAACAAAAAAATTTAAACTGAGTGTGGTGGCATGTGCCCATAGTCCCACCTACTCAGGAGGCCGAGATAGGAGGATCATTTGGGCTCAGGAGTTTGAAGCCAGCCTGGGCAATGTAGCAAAATAAAAAATAAAATAAAACAAGCATTTCTTTGTAATGAAATAACTCAGTTTAACAAGTATTGATACATTAAGATCGTAAGCTCATGCCTGTAATCCGAGGATTTTGGGAAACTGAGTTGAGCGGATTGCTTGACCCCAGGGATTTGAAACCAGCTTGGGCAACATGGCAAAATCCTGTCTCTATTAAAAAAAAAAGAAAGGCCTGGTGGCACTTGGCTGTGGTCCCACCTACTCTGGAGGCTGAGGTGGAAGGATTATTTGAGCCCAGGAGGTTGAGACTACAGTGAGCCAGGATTGTGTTACTGCACTCCAGCCTAGCTACACAGTGATACTGTCTCCCCAAAAAAAAAAAACATAAGTAAAGTTTAGGTTGGTGTTATTACTTAAGGTTCACAGTGCCACCAGCATAGTAGAGCACACGTAGTTGAGAAAGAAAAAAGGAACAAATAAAGGAGAATTAAGTTAGAAGAGGTAGATGAGACAGGAGAGGCAGATGTTTGTCAAATTGTGAAGCTATGTGAAATTTGCTTTTTATTATTCTAGTCTCTTTTATACCTGAAATATTTTGTAATCTCAGGTCCATCCATCTAACAAGTCTTTATCAAGCACCTCCTGTGCTAAAAGCATTGTGTTGCTGTCCAAAGACTAAAATAGATAACCAGCTCTCTCAGGGACATTTGTATTTTAAAAAGAAAACTCAAAAGTAGATAGACATTGTCTGCAGAAACGTTTGATTTGGCCCGCAGTATTTTCAAAGTAGGGGAAATATCAAATAAATTCTGAGTTTGGCTTCTTTTTACAAAATACACAGGTTTTTCCTTTCTACATTGCTTTGTGATTCTGGTTGCCAGGAGTTGACTAGATATTGCCCTTTAGACTGGCAGGCATCCCTGAATTTGCCAGTCTAAAACTACTCCCTGTTGTCCTGAACCTAGCTTGCTTTACTCACTTATGTTACCCACCCTGTCCTTTAGACATTTAAATTTGTGGTCTTTTTCCTTAAGTGTCTGAGCTCTCATGGGGTTCATCACCTATTACCTATGTGAGGATTTAAATGGATTTTGGGGTGGTGGCAGCGGTTGCATGTTATTATAGACACCAGAAATTATGTTCGGTAAGCCACTACCAGTACCTGCTATCCAAAGAATTACTTTCCTTAGGGAGTGAAGAAATAACCACCAGATTTTCTTAAATGAGTTGTAGTTTTTTTAATCCTTAGTTTAGTAGATAAAAATAAGAGTTTAAATTAGTAAAAACCTGACTACTCTACGACCCCCTGTCTGTCCAGCTTTTTTGTTGACCTGGCTTTTAAAATTACTTATTTATTTTTGCATTTTGGCAGTTCACTTAATTTACTCTTCTTTCTCTGTTTAAGAAAATTCAATCATTGTAGCAAAGGATGCGTCTCTGAAGAAGGCAGGAATGTTACTTAACTACCCGTACATAACCAGGAAGGAGTGTATTTTCCCCTCATTGTTAATATAGTGGTTAAAAGCAAATTTGGTTTTTATTTCATAATATTGTTCAGCAGCCAGATTAAAAAGCAATTAATACTTTAAGTATTAAAACCACAGTTAGTTTTGTACCATCCTAATAAGTGACGATTTTATCAGTGGAAAAAAAAATTGCAATGTTTACTCAGTGTTCCAGGTACAGGGAATACAAAGATAAGTAAGACATGGTCTCATTCAGATAGCCCACAATTTATCAATGTTAAAATTTACATATCCTGAATATAGGGCAGTGATTTATCTCTGAGAATTAGTAGCCTTGAAAATATTTAAGAATATTTAGGCTGGAATAGGACTTTACTTTGAATCAGATTATGTGATTCCTCCTGTAAAATGTGAAATTTAACCCCAGTTCTAGAAAACAATATAAATACTCAGAACAAAGGAGCAGGGTCCGAAAGTGGGTGGCCACGGAACTCTGAGCATGAGAGAAATTCATTTTTGTGATACACCGAGTCAGAGGTTGCAGGTGGGGAATACATTTCTAGATTTGGAAAAAAATGTTTTAGTTTTGAATTTGCTTGAGAAGTCCTCCTAAGTAACATGTTCTAGCCTTTCTTTCAATTAGTGAGTATTGCCAAAAATGTTTACAATCAAATAAGAAGTTAGCAGTAGGCATAGAATTTATTTTATAGAATTTTGGACTCTGGAGTGAATCGTTCTGATTAAGATGATGATACCTATACTTGTGTATATCAGTGGGACTATAAACCTGAATAAACCTAAAAATGTAGTAGGCATCTCAATAAAGTGATTGTCCCCTTTCAAATGGTTTTTCTAACTCACCTGCAGAATCTTTGGAAACTTTAAATATCCTGGCCCTGCCCCAGAATTAATGCCTGAGTAAGCACTGCTGTTCTACCACAGAACTTCTGAGATCATTTGTTAGCACTTTGTTGAATCACAATGGAGAGGGAGGAAGAGGAGCAGGAGCCAGATACTCAGGTTGGGGTGACATTTCGACTTTTCGGAAAGCAACACAGATGTAGTGACCCTCAGTGATGGTTTGTTTGGTCTCAGCTGCCCTTCCATTAGAAAGTTGGGATTATTACTGTTGGACATGCTTTCAAAATGAAATATCCTCTTTAAAATAATCTCTTGAATGGATTTAGTATTTTCCAGAAATAAATTCTGAGTTTCTCAGACAAGTCTAGAGCTATTCTAAGTACTTTCATATTCTTACTCTTACATAGCATGTTTTAAAAACTACTGGTTAAAGTTATTGGAGTTAGAAGGAAATATTGTATAAATTAAAAAATGTAAAAAAGTTTTTAATGCTGCCTTAGAAGAAATATTAATTTTGCCAATAAGTAGAAAAAACTGGAAGCAAAGTTTCCATAGTAATGTTATCTTTGCACTTACACAGCTGCATTATTACTACCCCATTGGACTGTGTGAATAATGCTTTTTCCTAACAAATGTAGAAGCACTTAGGATTCTTTCCGTATCGCTGCATATGAACATTAATAGTGTTTTCTAGTAAGCTTGTAAATATGTGGTCTCAGTATGTGTCTCCAGTTTGACCTTTACGGTTTTGTTCCTGCCAGACTTTGTCCTTGCTGTGGTATCTCGCTACTTTTCCTCATCTACAGCCCCTGCCAGAAATGTCATTGCTCTGAAAATTTTGTGTTTTGTTGTTCTATGTCTCAATTCCTAATTATGGATTATTTCCCCCCATGTTGTTCAAGCTGCTCATTTCCTCTCAATATAGCTTCTGTTTATAAACTTACTGTTGTTTTGCAAAATTAAAATATACTGCTTCCTAAATGCTTACTCGGCTCCGTGTCTTTGAAGTCAGCCTCATTCCGAGTTAAAACAAATATCTAACACTGATTTGTCTTCATAGTTCTGCTAGCTCTTGTTCCTGTTGGTTGTTTAAGGATATGGCCTTAACTTAGGTTCTTAGCTCCTTCTTTCCTCCCTCCTTCAACATTATTGCATATTTGCTCTATGTTAGGGAATCTTTTCGTCTCCAGAAATAGAGCAGAGAGCAGCTTCCTGAGTGGTGTGCTTGTTTGCATGTTTTTTTAAGGGTCTAGTTTTTATTCATTCCACAAATATTTAGCTGAACATTTTTTACTTTCTTTTTTTTTGAGATGGAGTCTCGTTCTGTCACCAGGCTGGAGTGCAGTGATGCAATCTCAGCTCACTGCAACTTCCGCCTCCCTGGTTCAAGCTGTTTTACTGCCTCAGCCTTCTGAATAACTGGGATTACAGGCATGCGCCACCACGCCCAGCTGATTTTTTTTTTTATTTTTTTAATTAGAGACAGGGTTTCACCATGTTGCCCAGGATGGTCTTGATCTCCTGACCTTGTGATCCACCCGCCTCAGCCTCCCAAAGTGCTGGGATTACGAGGGTGAGCCACTGCGCCTGGGCTTTTTTTTTTTTTTTTTTGGAGATAGGGTCTTGCTCTGTCCTTCAGGCTGGAGTGCAGTAGTGTGGTCTCAGCTCACTGCAGCCTTCACTTCTCGGTTTCAAGCAATTTAGCCTCCCATGTAGCTGGAATATCAGGCACCCGCCACCATCTCGGCTCATTTTTTTGTATTTTTGGTAGAGACGGAGTTTCACCATGTTGGCCAGGCTGGTCTCAAACTCCTGACCTCAGGTGAACCGCCTGCCTCGGTCTCCCAGAGTACTAGAATTACAGGCGTGAGCCACCACACCTGGCCTAGCTGAACATTTAAGGTATACTTGATACTATCCTAGCATAGGAATATAGCAGAAAGTCAAACGGGCAGTCTCTATCTTAAAATACCATAGTCTGGGTGGCTAAAACAATAAATTTATTCCTCATACTGAAGGCTGGGAAGTCCATGATTAGGTTCTGGCCAGTGGGTTCCTGGTGAAGACCCTCTCCCTAGTTTACAGACACCTTCTTGTTTTGTCTACATGGCAGAGACAGAAAGAGAAAGATGTCACCTGTCTCGTTTCTTTTTATAAGGGCACACTGATCCCATTCACTAATACTGTTCATAAGAACTTTACCTTCATGACCTAATTAGCCCCACAAGTCACCACTTTCTAATACCATCACATTGAGCAATAGGCTTTAACATACGAATTTTGGGAGGACACAAACTTTCAGTCTGTAGCAATAGATTAAGATCAACCCATATAAATTAGCTGGGGAAAGAGTGTTAGGCAAGGGTGACACCAATTGCAAGGGACATGAAGCTGCAAATGTTGCAAGATATGTTCAGGAACAACAGAAAAGCCAGTGTTGGCTGGCACAGTAGTTCTTGTGATTTTATTTGCATTTAAATCTGGAATCCATTTGGATGTTAATGAAATGCTGTTTCTAGAAGAAGGCTGTTGAAGCGATACCCTAGAAAGTTAGGATGCAGAGCCAGAGGCACAGTGCTCACCTCATCTGGGACATGGAGCAGTTTTCTTGAAGAGTTTCAAGAAAGGATACAGTAATGGAGACTAGCCTTGTCTCTTGCTTCTTACGTTTATCCTCTGGGAGGATTTCATTGGCTGTTACTGGTATAGCCCAAGGCAGTGGTTCTCTGGCTTAAGGGCTGAATCAGCGTCATCTGGAGGGCTTGTTAAACTATAGACTGTTAACTAAGTCCCACCTCCAGAATTTGACTCTCTAGGTCTGGGGAAGAGCCAGAGAATTCATTTTTAGCAATTTTTCAGGTGATGGTGATAGTTCTGGACAATACTTTGAGAATCACTGGCCTAGGGTTTCTGAGCTTAAGCTCTGGAATCGGAGGTTTGCATTCAAATTCCTGCTCTGGTATTTACTAGACTGTGATTTGGGGTACTGTTGTATGTGTTTTCCCCCCCACCCTGCTTAAGCCACAGTTTGCTTTTCTTGAACCCAGGGCATGTACTTCCTAGAGCTGCTGTGAAGACTAAGAGAAATACTGTATTAATAGCACATAATTCAAACCTGGTAAGTAGTCCTAGTAAATATGAGTCACTGGTGCTTTTACTGAGCTCTTTTTGGTCAGAGTGTCTGACCCAGTGCTGCTCAATAAAAATACGTAACATAATTTTAAAACTTCTAGTAGCCATATAAGCAAAATCAAAACAAGACAAAATAAACAAATAATTTTAACACAACATACATGAAATAATTGTACAATATCAGTATAAAATGATTAAGGTTTTAAAATATTATTTTCTTTATACTAAGTCTCTTAATTTGGCGTGTCTTTTGTACTTAAGCACATCTCGGTTCAGACCAGTCAAATTTCAAATGTATAATAACCACATGTGGCCAATGACTACTGTTTCTCATGGTGCCAGTTTAACCAGCACTCTTTCTCACCCTTTCCTCTTGGCCACCTCCATTAAAGATTCTTAGTCTAATTAGTTATAGACATGGAAGTAAACTTGTTTTAGTTAATGCAGGAAGAATGACCCCAGGCATGGCAGACATCCTTGACAGGCTTTTCTGTCTCTTAAATGTTCAGTCAGGGCTAAGAGTTTGTTTTCCTGGGAGTCAGTTTTCACTAAAGGATGTAATGTCACTTATAACCCAGTGTTCTTTCTCTTTTTTTAAGTTATGTGGGTTTGAGTATTTCCCACTAGAGAAGGGTCTCTGGAAACCCCAGGAGTCTAAGGAATAACCCCACCTGATTCTTAAAAGCTAGTCACATATGCTAACATTGATTTCCAGAACTCAAGTTTCTTGACTCATTGGAGAGGCATTTTCCTTCTAGGTCTGTGGAGACAGTTGTGAAGGAGTATCTCCTTAGGACTTGTGATTATTTTTATTTTAAATTTTCTTTGAGATAGAGTTTTACTCTGTCACCCAGGCTGGAGTGCAGTGGTGCAGTCTCGGCTCACTGCAACCTCTGGCTCCCAGGTTCAAGTGGTTCTTCTGCCTGAGCCTCCCGAGTAGCTGGGATCACAGATGCCTACCACTGTGCCTGACTAATTTTTGTATTTTTTGTAGAGATGGAGTTTCACCATGTTGGCCAGGCTGGTCACGAACTCCTGACCTCAGGTGATCTACTTGCCTCAGCCTCCCAAAGTGCTGGGTTTGTTGTAGTTTTAAACAGGGAAATTTGATTTGCCCCTGTTTTTCTGGACAGTAGCATATTTCAAAGTCATGTGTTATACTTTTGTTTTTAATGAAGTATTCATTTAGCAAATATCTGAGTACCCACTGTGTGTCTGTCACAGTTTTCTTATGCTTTACAGACCTTATTTTGGAGTTTCATATTTTTCAGTGATTGTTGTTTAATCTTTTAGTTTTTGTATTGTAAGTTACTTATTGAAATCCTACCAGAAAGAGTTTTGGTTATTAAACTTATATTTGTTGAGCATTCTTTTGACATTTAACCCATTTGAAAATAAATATATGAAATGTTAAGATTTTCTTGCCTATGGTGGTAAGTCATGTTTGATAATACCTTTAAATTTATAAATGGGCGATATGATTTGCATTTTTTTTAAAATAATACTCTTGCTGACTGGCCTTTTAAAAATTGGGACTTGTAACTTATGTAACAAGGTTTGAAAACTGTGTTGTTTTTTTAGACTAGGCTTTTAAATTCATTCACCCTTGAAGGGCTCTCTTTTGAATTTGTATTTCTAGGCAGTATTTCCTATGCTTAGAAAAAAAAAAGAACTTTATATCTTTGGTGCCCATCATGTATCAGCATTTAATTTATCTTTTGCCGCTGCGAGAAAAGTAATGATGATTTAGGTGTGCTTGGCAAAAGAAGCAAAAACTAGTAGTGCAAATAGATGAGAAGACTGGAGCTCCAACATCATTCTTCCCCTCTATCAACTTTATTGTTTAGAAAGATTCAAACCTACAGGAAAGTTAAAACACTAGAACAATGAATGCCTATATATCTTTCACCGAGACTGACCAGTTACTCACATTTCTCCACATATGCTTTCCCTCTTTTCTTCTCCATTTTTTTGCTGGCTTGTAGCTGGTTGCAAACATTGACATTCCACTCTTAAATTCTTCAGCATATTCTCCCCAAGAATAAGGATAATTTTACATAGACACAAAAACTAAAAAATATGTAATACCTAAGAAAAATAATAATAATTCCATAACATTGAATGTACAACCCCATTCAGATATCTTTAATTGCCCCCCAAATGTTTTTTATTGTAGTTGTAAAACTAATCCAAGATTCAATCAAGGTTCAAGTGTTCGACGATGTCTCTTTATTTTATTTTCATCTATGCTGGTTCCTTTGACAATTTTTGTTTGTTTCTTTGTTTTTCCTAACATTAATTTTTTTTGAAGAGTCTAAGCCTGATCAAAGTCTGTTTTATACAGTGCCCAACATTCTGGATTCATCTAATTGGTTTCCTCACAGTTCAGTTCAGCCTAAACATTTTTTGGCAAGAATACTATTAGATGACACGCATTTGTTACTGCATCACATCAAGAGTTCCATAACATCTGATTGTGCTTCTCTTGGTATTGCCACGTTTGATCATGTGCTCTAAGTTGATGACCACCAGATCATTTCATTGTACACATATATTTTTCCATCTACAATTACTATGTAATCTGGTGAGTCCAGTCTCTCTTTAGGGTTAAATATTTTGTGGTTAAGAAGTATCTTTTCAATCAAGGAAAAAAACCCAGGTTATTTAATAGCCTATGTCACATATTTAAAATCTCCTTTATGTGACATAATGAAACCATAGAGCTAAAAATATAACCTTCGTTGATTTCAGTTTACTTTTAAAAAATGATTGATTGATTGATTTAGAGACTGGGTCTCGTTCTGTCACTCCGGCTGGAGTGCAGTGGTCCCATCTCAACTCACAGCAACCTCCACCTCCTGGGTTCAAGTGATTCTTGTGCCTCAGCCTCTCAGGTAGCTGGGATTACAGGTGCAGGCCACCACGCCCAACTAATTTTTGTATTTTCAGTAGAGATGGTGTTTTACCATATTGGCCAGGCTGGTCTTGAACTTCTGACCGCAAGTGATCTGCTCACCTCGCTCTCCCAAAGTGTTGGGATTACAGGCATGAACCACTGTACCTGGCCTGTTTTATTTTTAAAGAGACGATTTTTCAGCCGGGCGCGGTGGCTCAAGCCTGTAATCCCAGCACTTTGGGGGGCCGAGGTGGGTGGATCACGAGGTCAAGAGATCGAGACCATCCTGGTCAACATGGTGAAACCCCGTCTCTACTAAAGATACAAAAAATTAGCTGGGCATGGTGGCGCATGCCTGTAATCCCAGCTGCTCAGGAGGCTGCGGCAGGAGAATTGCCTAAACCCAGGAGGTGGAGATTGCGGTGAGCCGAGATCGTGCCATTGCACTCCAGCTTGGGTAACAAGAGCGAAACTCCGTCTCAAAAAAAAAAAAAAAGACGATTTTTCTCCAAATTATTGATAACCTGAACTGTTCATTGTTACCAATAAAGTGTGTATGCACATTGCTCACTTCCTTTAAAAACTCAGGAAATTTTTGTCTTTACAGACAACATGATCTTTTTTTAATTTATTTTTTCTTTCTATTTTTTTAATTATACTTTAAGTTCTGGGGTACAAGTACAGCTCTTGTAGGATTTTTACATAGGTACACACATGCCATGGTAGTTTGCTGCATCCATTCCCCCGTCATCTACATTAGGTATTTCTCCTAATGTTATCCCTCCCCAATCCCCCTACCCCCTACTATCCCTTCCCTAGCCCCCTCCAATCCTCCAACAGGAACCGGTATGTGATGTTCCCCTCCCTGTGTCCATGTGTTCTCATTGTTCAACACCCACTTATGAGTGAGAACATGCGGTGTAAAAACTCAGGAATTTAAAGTAGAACAAGTTTTCTGAAATGTTTCATAGCTTGCCTTTACCTTACTCAGATCAAAATTGTCATGTGAGGATTATCTTAAATGTATATTATACAACACAGTAGTATTTTTGTTTTGTTTAGCATGCAACTCTAAATTCTTTTGGCTTTTTGTCATATTTCCATTTTTTTGCAAAGTTACTGAAATCCTTGAATGAGTGAATGTTACCAACAAAGATGAATCATTATTGAACTACCACTCAAACAGGGTATATCATAGGACCAGTAAAAGAATTGGATTTCTAACTTTTTTAAAAAATGTTTGCATTTACTTACTAGAACTATGTTTCCGTGGTTCAAAGAACAAGTTGATGGAGTGAGAGTGTGTGTGTGTGTGTGTGTGTGTGTGTGTGTGTGTTTTGGCTTCTGTTAGAAAACAATAAGATTACATAACGATTATAATGTTATGATTCTGAAGATTGGAGTCAATGGTGGAAAAATTCTTAACATAGGACAGCAGCTTATTTCCCCTCCCATAGTGGACCAAGGAAGTGGGAAAACACTCTTGTTTTTATTTTTCTTAGAATGGCTTCGACTCACAATCAGCTTAGGCAGACCACCTGGTGTCTGCCTGTGAATGGGAATATTTATGAACAGTCTGAAGCAGTTCTTAAGTGTCCACTTCTTTGATAAAGAGAGACTGCTTATTTCAAGCTCAGACATTACTATTCTCTCAGAAATTGCCGGCCAACACCCCCCTCATAGTAGAATGACTAATTATGAGCTGCAGTCTTAACATTTTTCATTGTTTTGATGTTGTATGCTTGGCAGGGTGTAGAGTACTTCTTTACTTCTTCAGGGTGTCTGTATTTATCAAATACAATGTAGATGCCTTTATAATATTAAATATGTGATTTGTAACTCTTACTCTCCAATTTCCATCAATAAAGCATAGCTGCTAAGTTACAACTCAGGCTGGATTAAGCAGTTTGTTTTATTTTGTGGCTCACTAGAGTAATTTGAAATAATGAAGATTTACCAAGGATAGAAGGCCAGATTTTTGCAGGTGCTATTCAGTGTCTTGTAAACAAACATTAATCTTTAGTGGTCAGATATCATGCAAGTCCCCCCAAATTTCTGGTGTGCAGTAGAGATTAGCCCAGATGTTTCTTATCTGGGATGGGGGTAAAGAGAGGGTGACCCTGATGATCATGCTCAAGAGTGTTGTCTTTAGCTGATCCAGTGGTTCTGACTGCCTTTGTTGCAGGCCAATGGTATAGCAGTTGAGCAGATCCTTTGAATATGTCAGTGAATGAACGAATGAGAGAGTAAAAGTTGAGGATAAAATCAGAGAGGTGATGGCATGATAATGCTGGAGACACCTGTGTGAGAATATTAATTCTGTGGGTGTAGTATGCCATGTCAAGGCAGCTGTTGACTCTTGGCAGATCCTGTTAACCTGATGTTTTTTCTTCTTTTGAGGTGATCTTCTTAGTAGAAATTTAATTTTAACCTCCTTCTTAAGCTGAGGGAAATTAATCTAGGGTGTTAGTCACATTTATAATTGTAGGGGGCAAGCATTTTAGAAGAACTTAGTGTTTTCAAGCATTAAATTCTCAACCCAAGTTGTCTTCAGCAACCCAAGGTATTAAGTCCAAAGAGCCCAGTCTCTTGGTTTCTTGTGCGCATAGGTTTTGGGTTTCTATTAATGAGAGGTTCTAGAGTAAAACAGATATACCCTTTTGGAAACTTGCATTAGTAACATACAATGATAATTATTTCTTTGCCACATTGTTGCAAAATTTAATTTTGCAGTGGGAATAAAAAATGTATAAGAATTCAATTGATAAATACGTATTAATTGTTGCATATATATGTTATATACTGTGCTTGGCGCTGGGAAATACAAAGATGAGTAAAGCAGGGGCTCTTCCTTAAATTTTAGTTTTTAAAAAACCTTTTTATGAGCACAAAAAGCAAAACAAACACAATTACAAAGTAAAATGATTAAAAGTATATTTGAAATATCAAAATGTCAGCAGGTGATTTTATTTTAAAAGATACTATCAAATTATTCTAAATTTAAAAATTTTAAATGGAATTTAAAACAATGAGAGTCGACCCGGTGCAGTGACTCAAAACGCCTGTAATCCCAGCACTTTGGGAGTCTGAGACAGGTGGCTCACTTGAGGTCAGGAGTTTGAGACCAGCCTGGCCAACATGGTGAAAGCCCATCTCTACTAAAAATACAAAACAATTTAGCCGGGCATGGTAGCAGGCACCTGTAATCCCAGCTACTCGAGAGGCTGAGGCAGGAGAATTGCCTCTGGGAGGTGGAGGTTGCAGTGAGCTGAGATCCCTCCACTGCACTCTTCCCTGGGCTGCAAGAGTGAAACTCCATCTCAAAAAAGAACAAAATAGATAGATAGATAGATAGATAGATAGATAAATAAATAAATAAATAAATAAATAAATAAATAAAAGAGCTAGAAAAAAGAGACTCTTATCTTACAGAAGAAAATGAATTTTAAGAGCAGATTTTCAATGGTTATAGTTTTCCATCACCAGACAGATAATATATGCTGCTGTAAGATTATATTGATAGTCTTCACAGTATTTCTCTTCAGCATTATCTGATCAACACATACATGAATGGAACAATAAAACGTAAATTTATCATACACTAGTTATGCACTTTTTAATTATCACAAAAGTGTAAGTGTCCCCAGTTTGACTGGGGATTTGCAGAGGTTGTTAACCATCTCACAGTTAACAGAACTAATAGTTTAGCAGAGCCTAGATACAAGCCAAGCAGTCAGATCTTTATCCAACATTTCCTGAGTTCAGTTATTATTAGCTGCCCTTTACCCCGCAATAGGTTCTGTTTTTTTTTTTCTGCTGAGTATGTTTTGGAAGAACCTGTAAAACTCTAAAATAAAGGGATACATTAACTTTTCTTTAGACTAATATTGTAAAAGAAAAAAATTAAGGAACATTTTCATTAATTGTATTTCCTAAATCATTTTCTATGTATTTTCTTTCAGGTTCTTCCTATATATATGTTTTCAGTGTATAAATATATTTGTAATCTTATATTCTACAGTATCAGACATTTCCCATGTTTCTATTTTGTTTTCCAATTATTTTGAATTGTTACATACTATACCATTGAGTAATTTATCCACCTTTGCTTATCTTCTCCTCTACTTTTGGGATTGTTTTGGTTGTTTCAGTTTTTCATTATTACACATAACATAGTAATGAACATTTTCTGCTTAGAATATTTTTCTTTGATTGAATTATTTTTGTAGGATAAATTTCCAGAAAAGAGTCACCCATACTCTTGAACTTCATATGCTAGTTTGTGCCTGGCGGTACCTTTATTATGTGAATTAGGTAGGGAGAAATAAAATTGCAGAATTAAATGTATTCTATTCCTTGTAAAGTCATTTTGCATTGTACAGTCGTTTTGCATACAAATGGTAGAAGGGGGTTGAGTTATTTATACTATTATTTCCATTGGGGAAAGTAAGAATTGGGGAGATATAGGCAGTATTAAATTAGAAGTGCTTTAACATTATCAGTCTTCTTCTTTGGTATAGTCTGGCATATGATTCCAGGCCCTTTAAGGAAAATGAGAATGGAGGAAAGAATAGCACTGTAATGATAGAAGAGGTTAAGGAATGCCTGTTAACTCTGATGATAAGAATTATGATGGATTCGTCATTCATACAGAAAGCTAGGAACTTAGCTCAGATACATGCATAGTATGAGAGACAGACTCAAATAAAAATACACAGGCAGTTCATATTATATGTAAGGATATGCAAGGAGGGAGGGAAAGCTGTTAGGGTAAGCTTGTATGCACTGTGAAGCACCTCTGTTGTTCCTTGTGCTTCAGGTCAATTAACTGAAGGTGCTTTGTGTCATGAGCACTGTTTCATTCATCCTTTGAATCCTAGTATTTACAGTGTCTGACACATAGTAGGCCCTTAATAATGATAGTAAATGTTTATTCGCTTTAGTTGAATTCATAGGTGAGCTTTGAAAAGAGTGCCTAGCACATGTGCAATGAAAATTGTGCTGAGAAATTGAGCTTCTTGGGCAGATGCACCAGTTTGGTAGGGAGAGACTTTGGTGACTTCAGTGTATAGGTAGTTGAATTGAAAGATTGTCCAGGAGGAAGAGATGGTGTTAACTGCTTTATTGAAATTTCTTTTGAAAACTTAGGTTCACACAAAAACCTACATATAAATGTTTATAACAGCTGTATTATGATCTCCAGAAAATGGAAGCAACTAAAGATGTTCTTCAACAGGCAAATGAATAAACAAACTGTAGAATATTATTCAGTAAAAAGAAATAGGCTATCAAACCACAAAATGACATGGATGAATCTTAAATGCAAATTACAAAGTGGAAGCTGGTTTTAAAAAGCTACATTCTATATCATTTCATTAGTCTGACATGGAAGATGGGAAACTAAAGTAATAGTGTAGAGATGAGTGGTTGCCGTGAGTTCAGGAAGCAAGGAGGATTGAATAGGTGAAGCACAGGGAAATTTTTAGGGGAGTGGAATTATTCTGTATGATCCTGTGGAAGAGTGGGTACATGACAGTTGTCAAAACATACAGAACTTTTACAGCACAAAGAATGAATTTTAATGTATGATAATGAAAAAAAAACTTTTAGGAGATCCCAGGATAGAATTGCAGAATGTTTTAAAACAGACTGTATTACAGATGTATGAAATAGATGTAATGTGGGGGGTGGCGGTGAGGAGGTTGGCTGGGTAGAAAAAGTGCTGAATTAAGTAAATTTGGAAATAAGTGGATTCTGAAAGACCAAAGGCAATAGGACCTGCACCTGAGTATTGTGTTCTATTTGATGAAGTTGTTTTTCATGGTAGTATAGGTTAATAGTTCTGATAGTGCTATACATGTATACTGGAATTGAGGAATTAAATAAATGGATGGTAGAAGCTAGATTTCTCATTGTTTGGGCGGGTATTTACAGAAGAGTAACGGGAGGAGGCTAGAATGGTCTTTGTGGTAATGAATTAGAGAAGGCTATATCAGTAATGTGGATACTTAATGTGGATACAGAAATATTTACAGAGATGAATGTATACACAGATTGGTATATACATTATTTTCTTGCTCTGTCTGCTGAGAGGGCCTAGATCCAGCAGCGATTATACGTAGCACCTAGATCATGTTTTTTAATTAACATTCTCCAGGAGAAGGAACTAAAGCTCTTGGAGAAGTGGTCAGTTCTAGGACTGGAGTAGGAAATACACAAAATGAGCTTTGAACATATTGTAGTGCCAAAAAGTAAAGAAATGCTTTAAAGAACCCCACAATGATGGGGTGTGTCAGAAGGACACAGGAGCCAACTAACTGAAGAGCTCCCATTGGCCAAAGCTGGAAGGAACTATTTGAGCAACAAAATAAAATACTAACAAGTTGTAACCTTAAGTATAGAATAAATATCCATGAGTCCATACTGATATTTGTTTAGTGACAGATAACTAAAAGGGTGAGAAAGAGATAAATTTGCCATGTAGCATTTCAAATTATTTATGTAGATACTTTGCAAGGGGAGCCTGACTCTCTGTTCCTTAAGTGTGGGCTGTGCCTATGACTTCCAAAGTGTGCAAAGGGAGGGAAAGTAACTTTAAGGGAGAAACCTGACAAACTCTGCCTCAGCCAGGTGATCAAGATTAATATCAGCAGTGATAATTCATGTTGATTATATATACCGTTGGTGTATGATATGATGAGAATGGCCTCTGTGATTGTCCCCCAATCCTATTAATCCAGTATAACCATGAGAACAATGAGATAAACCCAAATTGATGAGCACTGTACAAAATACCTGACCAGTACTCTTCATAAATGTCAAGGTTATCAAAAAGAAGGAATATCTGAGAAACTGTCACAGCTAAGAGGAACATAGGAGACACAACAGTTAAATCTAATTGGTGGTGTCCTGGATGAGCTCCTGGACTGGAAAAAGAACATTAGATAAAAACTAAGGAAATCTAAACAAGTATGGACCTCAGTTAATAGGGTGTCAGTATTGGCTCATTAATTGTAACAAATCTCCCATAGTAGTGTAAGATGTTAATGATAGGGGAAATTGGCTCCTGAGTATATGGGAATTCTCTGTACTATCCTGGCAACTTTTTTATAAATGTAAAACTATTCTAAAAAATAAAGCTTTATAGATTCCATTGATTAGAAGGAAAATATACACTTTTTTTAAAAAAGGAAAATACTTCTGGGTAGCAGGTAGAATTGCTTTTATTTATCCCTCTAATGGAATTTAAACAAAATCTTAAAAAGTAAAAGTAAATTCAGGTACCAAACAAACCAAAAGGCTTCCTGTGATGATCCTGAGAAGTTCCAAGATGATCTTGATCTCAGAATGATACTGATCACTTGCGAGACCCATAGCGTCTTCCATTAATTAAATATAAATTCCTGTAATTCTGTTATTGAGAAACAAACTGGATTTTCCATGCCCTCCAAATAAGTTTATGAACGAGTGAGAAGTTTTTAGATCCTGAATGTATTAATTCATTCTCATGCTGGTAATAAAGACATACCTGAGACTGGGTAATTAATAAAGGAAAGAGGTTTAATAGACTCACATTTTGCCATGGCTGGGGAGGCCTCACAATCATGGCAGAAGGCAAAGGAGAAGCAGAGACACATCTTACATGGTGACAGGTAAAAGAGCTTTTGTAAGGGAACTCTCCTTTATAAAACCGTCAGATCTCTTGAGACTTACTATCAGGAGAACACCCCAAGAAAGACCTGCCCCCATGATTTAGTTACCTCCCACTGGGTCACTCTCATGACACATAGGAATTACAGGAGCTACAATTCCAAGATGACAGTTGGGTGGGGACACAGCCAAACCGTATCACTGACTGAGTCTTGTGCCTACCTTCTGTTTAATGCTTCTTTCTTTTTAGAAGTAGAAATATTCATGAATGAGAAAATTAGAGGCACTGGACCTTCCTCTAATGCCCTGAATAAAGCTCAGAATTCACTCTAATCACACTTGAAGGGGAACAGGTTGAAAAATGCAGAGTAATTTAGAAATGCAAGAATGCTTGTATGTCCTTTTGCCAAGGAGATTTAAAAAAATCTTCAAAATAACTCTGACCACCTTAGTGTGGAAAGTATTCTAACTTATGTTTATTCGTTCTTCTTTAAATAAGTTACTCTCTCTTGACATAGAGGAGGATAGTCCCAACTTCCAATGGAATAATACTCTTAATCCCCTAGAAACAACGTTCTGTTATTTCTGAAACTGGTTCACTGCTCTCCTCTTCACAAGTCCATTACTACTAGTGTTTGACCTTCTGGAAGGCACAAGGTGCCCCTGAAATCATAGTTAGGATGGGAACTGAAGAACTGATGCAAATGTATCTTGTAAGACAGTCTGTGTTCTGTTATAAATGATCTTCATCCTGGTATTCTTTCCTGCTCTATTTATTTTGCGTTCCTAGGATCCTTGCACAGAGCAGAGCAACATAAGCTGTATTTTTTTTTAATTTTTTATTGCATTTTAGGTTTTGGGGTACATGTGCAGAACATGCAAGACAGTTGCATAGGTACACACATGGCATTGTGCTTTGCTTCCCTTCTCCCCTTCACCCACATTTGGCATTTCTTCCCAGGCTATCCCTCCCCAGCTCCGCCCCCCCCCGCTCACCCTCCCCTTTTCCCCCCAGTAGACCCCAGTGTTTAGTACTCCCCTCCCTGTGTCCATGTGTTCTCATTTTTCATCGCCCGCCTATGAGTGAGAATATGTGATATTTCATTTTCTGTTCTTGTGTCAATTTGCTGAGAATGATTTTCTCCAGATTCATGCATGTCCCTAAAAACGACACGAACTCATCATTTCTGATTGCTGCATAATATTTCATGGTGTATATGTGCCACATTTTCCCAATCCAGTCTATCATCAGTGGGCATTTGGGTTGATTCCAGGTCTTTGCTATTGTAAACAGTGCTGCAATGAACATTCGTGTGCATGTGTCCTTGTAGTAGAACGATTTATAGTCCTTTGGATATATACCCAGTAATGGGATTGCTGGGTCAAATGGAATTTCTATTTCTAAGGCCTTGAGGAATCGCCACACTGTCTTCCACAATGGTTGAACTAATTTACACTCCCACCAACAGTGTAAAAGTGTTCCTTTATCTCCACATCCTCTCCAGCATCTGTTGTCTCCAGATTTTTTAATGATCGCCATTCTAACTGGCGTGAGATGGTATCTCAATGTGGTTTTGATTTGCATCTCTCTGATGACCAGTGATGATGAGCATCCTCATGTATGTCTTCTTTGTCTGTTCATATCCTTTGCCCATTTTTGAATGGGCTTGTTTTTTCCTGTAAATCTGTTTGAGTTCTTTGTAAATTCTGGATATCAGCCCTTTGTCAGATGGGTAAACTGCAAAAATGTTTTCCCATTCTGTTGGTTGCCAATTCACTCTAGTGACTGTTTCTTTTGCTGTGCAGAAGCTGTGGAGTTTCATTAGGTTCCATTTGTCTATTTTGGCTTTTGTTGCCAATGCTTTTGTTGTTTTGTTCAAGAAGTCCTTGCCTACTCCTATGTCCTGGATGGTTTTGCCTAGATTTTCTTCGAGGGTTTTTATGGTGCCAGGTCTTATATTTAAGTCTTTAATCCATCTGGAGTTAATTTTAGTGTAAGGTGTCAGGAAGGGGTCCAGTTTCTGCTTTCTGCACATAGCTAGCCAGTTTTCCCAACACCGTTTATTAAACAGGGAATCCTTCCCCATTGCTTGTTTTTGTCAGGTTTATCAAAGATTGTATGGTTGTAGATAATGTTGTGTTGCCTCCCATGCCTCTGTTCTGTTCCATTGGTCTATATCTCTGTTTTGGTACCAGTACCATGCTGTTTTGATTACTGTAGCCTTGTAGTATAGTTTGAAATCCGGTAGTGTGGTGCCCCCCACTGTGTTCTTTTTGCTTAGAATTGACTTGGCTATGCGGGCTCTCTTTTGGTTCCATATGAAGTTCATGGTGGTTTTTTCCAGTTCTGTGAAGAAAGTCAATGGTAGCTTGATGGGGAGAGCGTTGATTCTGTAAATTACTTTGGGCAGTATAGCCATTTTCACGATATTAGTTCTTACTAATCATGAACATGGAATGTTTCTTCATCTGTTTGCCTCCTCTCTTATTTCATTGAGCAGTGGTTTGTAGTTTTCCTTGAAGAGGTTTCTTACATTCCTTGTGAGTTGTATTCCTAGGTATTTTATTCTTTGTGTAGCAATTGTGAATTGCAGTTTGTTCTTGATTTGACTCTAAGTCTGTTATTGGTGTAGAGGAATGCTTGTGATTTTTGCACATTGATTTTATATCCTGAGACTTTGCTTAAGTTGCTTATCAGTTTCAGGAGTTTTTGGGCTGAGGCGATGGGGTCTTCTAGGTATACTATCATGTCGTCTGCAAATAGAGACAATTTGGCTTCCACCTTTCCTATTTGAATACCCTTTATTTCTTTTTCTTGCCTGATTGCTCTGGCTAGAACTTCCAATACTATATTGAATAGGAGTGGTGAAAGAGGGCATCCTTGTCTAGTGCCGGATTTCAAAGGGAATGCTTCCAGTTTTTGCCCATTCAGTATGATATTGGCTGTTGGTTTGTTGTAAATAGCTTTTATTACTTTGAGATACGTTCCTTTGATACTGAGTTTATTGAGGGTTTTTAGCATAAAGGGCTGTTGAATTTTGTCGAATGCCTTCTCTGCGTCAATTGAGATAATCATGTGGTTTTTGTTTTTGGTTCTGTTTATGTGGTGAATTACGTTTATAGACTTGCGTATGTTGAACCAGCCTTGCATCTCCGGGATGAATCCTACTTGATCATGATGGAAAAGTTTTTTGATTTGCTGTTCCAATCGGCTTGCCAATATTTTATTGAAGATTTTTGCATCTGTGTTCATCATGGCTATTGGCCTGAAGTTTTCTTTTCTTGTTGGGTCTCTGCCGGGTTTTGGTATCAGGATGATGTTGGTCTCATAAAACGATTTGGGAAGGATTCCCTCCTTTTGAATTATTTGGAATAGTTTCAGAAGGAATGGTACCAGCTCCTCTTTGTGTGTCTGGTAGAATTCGGCTGTGAACCCATCTGGACCTGGGCTTTTTTTGTGTGGTAGGCTCTTAATTGCTGCCTCGACTTCTGACCTTGTTATTGGTCTATTCATAGTTTCAGCTTCCTCCTGGTTTAGGCTTGGGAGGACACAGGAGTCCAGGAATTTATCCATTTCTTCCAGGTTTACTAGTTTATGTGCATAGAGTTGTGTGTAATATTCTCTGATGATGGTTTGAATTTCTGTGGAATCTGTGGTGATTTCCCCTTTATCATTTTTTATTGCATCTATTTGGATGTTCTCTCTTTTCTTTTTTGTCAATCTGGCTAGTGGTCGGTCTATTTTGTTGATCTTTTCAAAAAACCAGCTCTTGGATTTATTAATTTTTTGAAGGGTTTTTCGTGTCTCTATCTCCTTCATTTCTGCTCTGATCTTAGTTATTTCTTGTCTTCTGCTAGGTTTTGAGTTTTTTTGATCTTGCTCCTCTAGCTCTTTCAATTTTGACGATAGGGTGTCAATTTTGGATCTCTCCATTCTCCTCATATGGGCACTTATTGCTATATACTTTCCTCTAGAGACTGCTTTAAATGTGTCCCAGAGATTCTGGCATGTTGTGTCTTCGTTCTCATTGGTTTCGAAGAACTTCTTTATTTCTGCCTTCATTTCATTGTTTATCCAGTCAACATTCAAGAGCCAGTTGTTCAGTTTCCATGAAGCTGTGCAGTTCTGGGTTGGTTTCTGTATTCTGAGTTCTAACTTGATTGCACTATGGTCTGAGAGACTGTTTGTTATGATTTCAGTTGTTTTGCATTTGCTGAGGAGTGCTTTACTTCCAGTTATGTGGTCAATTTTAGAGTAGGTGTGATGTGGTACTGAGAAGAATGTATATTCTGTGGATTTGGGATGGAGAGTTCTGTAGATGTCTATCAGGTTTCCTTTTTCCAGGTCTGACTTCAAGCCCTGGATATCCTTGTTGATTTTCTGTCTGGTTGATCTGTCTAATATTGACAGTGGAGTGTTAAAGTCTCCCACTATTATTGCGTGGGAGTCTAAGTCTCTTTGTAAGTCATTAAGAACTTGCCTTACGTATCTGGGTGCTCCTGTATTGGGTCCATATATGTTTAGGATTATTAGCTCTTCTGGTTGTATCGATCCTTTTACCATTATGTAATGTCCTTCTTTGTCTCTTTTGATCTTTGTTGCTTCAACGTCTATTTTATCAGAGATGAGAATTGCAAGTCCTGCTTTCTTTGCTCTCCATTAGCTTGGTAAATCTTCCTCCATCCCTTTATTTTGAGCCTTTGTGTATCCTTGCATGTGAGATGGGTTTCCTGGATACAGCACACTGATGGGTTTTGGTTTTTTATCCAGTTTGTCAGTCTGTGTCTTTTGATTGGTGCATTTAGTCCATTTACATTTAGGGTTAATGTTGTTATGTGTGAATTTGATACTGCCATTTTGAGGCTAGCTGGCTGTTTTGCCCATTAGTTGATGTAGATTCTTCATTATGTTGATGCTCTTTAGCATTTCGTGTGGTTTTGGAATGGCTGGTACTGGTTATTCCTTTGTATGTGTAGTGCCTCTTTCAGGAGCTTTTGTAAAGCAGGCCTGGTGGTGACAAAATCTCTGAGTACTTGCTTGTTCGCAAAGGATTTTATTTTTCCTTCACTTATGAAGCTCAGTTTGGCTGGATATGAAATTCTGGGTTGAAAGTTCTTTTCTTTAAGGATGTTGAATATTGGCCCCCACTCTATTCTTGCTTGTAGAGTTTCTGCCGAGAGATCTGCTGTGAGTCTGATCGGCTTCCCTTTGTGGGTGACCCAACCTTTCTCTCTGGCTGCCCTTAGTATTTTCTCCTTTATTTCAACCCTGGTGAATCTGACGATTATGTGCATCGGGGTTGCTCTTCTTGCGGAATATCTTTGTAGTGTTCTCTGTATTTTCTGCATTTGAGTGTTGGCCTGTCTTGCTAGGTGGGGGAAATTTTCCTGGATAATATCCTGAAGAGTATTTTCCAGCTTGGATTCATTTTCTTCATCACATTCTGGTACGCCTATCAAATGTAGGTTAGGTCTCTTCACATAGTCCCACATTTCTTGGAGACCTTGTTCATTCCTTTTTGCGCTTTTTTCTCTAATCTTGGTTTCTCATTTTATTTCATTGAGTTGATCTTCGACTTCTGATATTCTTTCTTCTGCTCGGTCAATTCGGCTGTTCAAACTTGTGCATGCTTCGCGAAGTTCTCGTATTGTGTTTTTCACCTCCTTCAATTCATTCATATTCCTTTCTAAGTTATCCATCCTTGTTATCATTTCCTCGAATCTTTTTTCAAGGTTCTTAGTTTCTTTGCATTGATTTAAAACATGTTCTTTTAGCTCACAAAAGTTTCTCATTATCCACCTTCTGAAGTCTAATTTTGTCGTTTTGTCACAGGCATTCTCCGTCCAGCTTTGTTCCCTTGCTGGTGAGGAGTTTTGGTCCCTTGTAGGAGGCGAGGTGTTTTGGTTTTGGGTGTTTTCCTCCTTTTTGTGCTGGTTTCTTCCCATCTTTGTGGATTTATCCACCAGTCGTCTGAGTAATTGCTGACTTTTTGATTGGGTCTCTGAGTGGACACCCAGATTGTTGATGATGAAGTATTTCTGTTACTTGGTTTTCCTTCTACCAGTCTATCACCTTTACTGTATGACTTCTGAGGTCCACTCCAGGCTCTGCTAGTCTGGGGTGCACCTGTAGCAGCTGCGGAACAGTGAGGGATGCTACCAGTTTCTTTTTCTGCCATCTTTGTCCCAGAATGATGCCTGCCAAATGTCAGTCTTGTGGATATAGAGGGGTCAGGGAGCTGCTTGAGGAGACAGTCTGTACTTTATAGGAGCTCAAGTGCTGAGCTGTGAGCTCTGTTGTTCATTCAGGGCTGTTAAGCTGCTACGTTTTATTCTGCTGCAGCAGAACTCATAAACAAAAACCCTTTTTTTCTCAGATGCTCTGTCTCGGGGGGTTGGGGCTTTCTTTATGAGTGTCCATTGCTCTGTCCTGCCCAGCTAGGAGGCAGTCTAGGCACTATTTGCCTGCTGAGGCTCCACCCTGCTGGTGTGAGGTCTGCCCTTTTGCTGCAGGCTCTGCTCTGCTGCTGCGGTCTCTGCCCTGCTGCCACGGGCTACGCCCTGCGGCAGCGTCTCTCTGTTGTGGCGGGTTGCCTCAGCAACGGCAGGCTGTGTCAGCAATGGGCGTGTACCTCAGTAGGGGCGGATTGCCTCGGTAATGGCAGATGCCTCTCCCTCACCCAGCTGCACCATCCTGGGTTCAGCTGTGCCCGCAGTGAAACTCTCCACTCGGAGCGTTTGGAATCGCCGTTTTGTTTGTCCCACTGCGCTGGCCCAGACACCGTTTCCCTGGAATCTCCTGGCCTGGCTCACTGTCCAAGTCCCGTTCAATCAGATGGATATGCCAATCTGCCGTCTCAAGTCTCAGATTGCCAGTTCAACAAGGCATCCAGACCTGTGCGCTCTTTGCGGAGTGCTGTGAAGCACTGCTGCAATGTAGCGCCGGCCGCCGGCTGCACCAGGCAAAACCTCTTCGCTGGTGCCCCTTGTCTCTTTTATACCTGGGAATTTCCCCGTTCTGTGGGCAACAAAGATCCGTCTGGAAATGCGGCCCTGACTCACCCTCCGCGCATTCACCGAGAGCTTCAATCCTGGGTTGTTCTCACCGCGCCATCTTGAGTCCATTTCATAAGCTGTATTAACAGTCTTATCTTTTAGTGGGCTTTTGGCCAGAGGTTCAGAGCTGTAGAATATAGAATTACTTTTTACTTCATAAAATCACAGGGTTGATGTTAGCACTTGTTCTTTTTCAGCCATTAATTCATGCCTTGGTCATATGTAAATAAACTTAATTTGTATGATGTAGTTGGCGGAGCGAGATGTCTGGTTGATTCAGCTTGGAAGATCTTTTTCAAAACACAGACAAGCATGTATTCTTTTTTTTTTTTGAGACGGAGTTTTGCTTTTGTTACCCAGGGTGGAGTGCAATGGCGGGATCTCAGCTCACCGTTCCTCCGCCTCCTGGGTTCAGGCAATTCTCCTGCCTCAGCCTCCTGAGTAGCTGGGAATACAGGCACGCACCACCGTGCCCAGCTAATTTTTTTGTATTTTTAGTAGAGATGGGGTTTCACCATGTTGACCAGGATGGTCTCGATCTGTTGGCCTCGTGATCCACCCGCCTCGGCCTTTCAAAGTGCTCGGATTACAGGCTTGAGCCACCGCGCCCGGCCCAAGCATGTATACTTGCATTCCCATAGCGTCAAGCTCTTAGAGAAGGCCAGAGGAATAAAAGTAAAGATAATGCTTTTTGTCCCTAGGAGTAAAGAGTAGTTGCACACAAAAGAATTGAGTTATGGCTGTTGGTCTGAGTTCTTCTCATAACTTTTCTTTTAGTCTTAAATATTGATATATTAGGTGAATACAGAGTTTAGCATCGTTGAACTAAGAATTTATTGTATTACTCAAGAAGTATGTGTTTTTACCAGTTAAAATACAATCAAATGTGAACATTTTAAATTCAGACAGCCTGAGAATTTTGTCCAATTCAATAAGAAGCCTGAATTATAGAATACTCAAGAGATATTATTTTTCTTAAGAAAATATACTATAAGTATTCATGTGTTTAAAGCCTATATAAACATAAACTTGGCTTAGTTCAGTAATAAATACTTGCCAACCTCTATGAAGACATAATGGTTACAAAGATGATACCCTCAGGAAGTTTAGTTCTAAATTATACTATGATATATTTTTTTAACATGGAGTTTCACTCCTGTTGCTCAGGCTGGAGTGCAGTGGTGCAATCTTGGCTCACTGCAACCTCTACCTCTTGGGTTTAGGTGATTCTCCTGCCTCAGCCTTGCGAGTAGCTGGTATCATAGACTACATGGTTACAGAAAGATTCTAGGCCAGTTACATTGGCTCACACCTGTAATCCCAGCACTTTGAGAGGCTGAGGTGGGTGGATTGCTTGAACCCAGGAGTCTGAGACCAGGCTGGGCAATATGGTGAAACCCCGTCTTTACAAAAAATCCAAAAATTAGGCTTGCGTGGTGTTGCATCTGTAGTCCCAGCTACTCAGATGGCTGAGGTGGGAGAATCACTTGAGCCCAGGTGGTGGGGGTTGCAGTTGCCACTGCACTCCAGCCCAAGTGAAAGGGTGAGACAATGTCACCAAAAAAAAAAAAAACACAATAAAATTAAAAGAAAACACCCCATGATGGCCCACAATTTGTTTGATGCCACTCTAGATCATCCTAAAGCAAACAGCAGTCAGTATGACACCAAGTCTCTAGAATTTCAAGGATTGGTTGATATTATCTTCCAGTGAATGAGAGAGCAGATCCTAATTTTTTTCTGCGAGCAGATTCTCTGACTTCACCTGGGCCTTCCCTCTGCTAAGTTTTAATTGTCTATATTTTCTTTTAAAAAAAGGTCATGTACCTTCCTAACACAAGAAAAGCACTGGGGGTTAAAAAGCCACGCTTGGACACAGTAACTATAATTATCAAAACCAGAAGGCCACCAGTGTTGCCTCCATTGATGATCGGCAAAGAATCTACTCCTCATCTTTTAGGAAAATGACAGCAGTCTTGGTTTGTTGGTTCTCTGTATTCAGCCCCTCACATAGAGATCTGTTTCAAAGTATCCACAGTTCACTTACATCTTGACTCACTTAGAGTGACCCAATGAGATCTCTGCAGCCATGGTTACATTTTCTTTTCTTTGTGTGAAGTGATGGCACAGCTCACTGAATGCCATTCTTCTACATGCTGAACTAAATTGCTCTCGTAAGTTTGCTTCTGACTTTGGATGCACAAAGTGTAGGCCTGAAATGAAAGCTATTCCTGGGATGCACTGATCAAATAAACTGCTGTAGCAGTCTACTCCCTCTCTACTATACCACTGTGTTTTAATTTAGTTTGTAATAATGAAAACATCTTATATATTATATTTTATTTATATATGCAATTAATGAAATTTGAGTATATGAACCTTTAGTATTAAAAACCATCCAGATTCGATTTTTAAAAATTTTTTTGAGACATTGCCTCCTCACTTTGCCACCCAGGCTGGAATGCATCAGCATGATCTCAGCTCACTGCAGCCTCCACCTCCTGGGCTCAAGCAATCCTTCCATCTCAGCCTCCCGAGTAGCTGGAACTACAGGCATGCATCACCATGCCCAGCTAATTTTTGTGGGTTTTTTTTTTTTTTTTTTTTTTTTTAAGAAATGGGGTTTTGCATTGTTTACCAGGCTGGTCTTGAACTCCTGAGCTCAAGCAATCTGTCCGCCTTGGCCTCCTAAAGTGCTGAGATTATAGGCGTGAGCTACAGCACCTGGCTGGTCCAGAATCTTAACATTGCTCTTTGTGTATCTTTTTCATTCTGCCTTCAGGGAGCCAGCCTTTCATTCGCTGCTTATTACTGTGGGTTTGCTCTAACCTGCTGCCATCATCATCTTTCGTCTGAATGAAAAAACTCGCTTATTTTTTCTTGATGACTCTGATATTGTTTGAGGGGCGACTCAACTTTTCTTTCTCTCAGCTTTTCTCATTAATGTTGTTATATTTCATATCAGACTGAAGGATGGTCAAGTCTCATTATCAAGCTTTCCAGTGTCAGCTTTCTAGCTTTTACAGTAGTCCCTTGGAGGATTTTTGGAGTCCTACATTTAAAAAATTTAGTCACATGGGGTTTGGTGTAGAATATGCAGAGAGAGGCCATTGGAAGGGATTCCAGTTTGTATTGCAGAACTTGGATATACTCAGGTTGAGATCTTGTGATTGTCAGAAACTTTTATGTATTTTGAAGGTGATTTCTGATAGTACATATTTGGTAGATCTTACCAAGAAGGCATTTGATTTCCAACAGTTTCCTCATAGCATTATATTGCCTGCCTTGGTGATATGGTCAGTGTTCCTCCTCTGTAGGATTTTTATTTCTTTTTAATTCTTCTTTTCTTTTTTCTTTATTTCCTTACCCCCTCTTCCTCTCCCCCTTTCCCTGCCCCCCCCAATCCCTTCTTAGGACAGCAGTGTCCTGATAAGAGGCAACACACTTGGTAATGCTAAAGCTTTTTGCACACATGCGCGCATGCGCGCGCACACACACACACACACACACACACGAATGAATAAATGGGTCTTCAGATTGAACGGTATTAAATGTAACTGTTTTCATTTATACTTTGATCCTATATTTTCTAAATTTCGAATATTAGAATGTGCAGAATATAAGTTTATAATCTTCAGACTTGAATTTTTAGCCCAATACATGATGTTACTGTAGAGTAGGAATGGTATGAAAGGTATGAAATCCAGAGATAATTCTTAATCTTTATTTTTAACCATTTAAAGTCAAATTTTTTGTCTCTTCCCTTAAATGTCTAGCTATGACACAGATCATCATCATGTGTCAAAGGTATACCAGACTGAGAAAGAGAGTGGTAGTTCTTTTGGGAGGCTCAGTCAGTAGTTAGCCAGAGCTTAGCCACATCCCAAGATGTTGAACTAGAAAATCACTATGGTCTCTTCTGATTCTAAAAGGTGGTGATTTTCTTGACATCACAAATGCATAGAGATGTGTGTGTGAATAATGAGATGGTCAACCTGTAACAAGAAGATATAGACCATCTTCAGTCAGATAATTAGCCTCTGAGTGGCTGAGAAGTTTTTGTGTGAGTAAGATAAAAAATGGAGTCTGCTCAGCAGATTTGCAGAGAATCTGTGATAAATTTGTTTAGTGCATTTCAAACCCCAGGAGCTCCACATGGGATGGTTTTATTTTGGGGTCTTTATAGACATATTCTATATATCTACTGTCACTATACAGATCTGTCTAAGCATGTTTTGATAAAGAGTATTGAAGTCTCAAAGATGGGTTTTAATATCTTTACCAAAAGATGGCAGACATTGATGAATGGTTTCTAAGGATAATTCCTTGCAGTCTTATTTTCTGTATAGTACCAGTTTATAAAATGAGTATGGTGTGCATTATTACATTGGCAATAAGAACTAACAGTTGATTGCCAAAATACACTTTCAGTGGCATCTGACTTTTCTAAATCAGAATCACATAATTTGGTAGAAGGCGTTTTTTTTTGTTGTTGTTTGTTTTTGTTTTTGTTTTTGAGACAGAGTCTTGCTCTGTTGCCAGGTGCCAGGCTGGAGTGTGATCTCGGCTCACTGCAACCTCTGCCTCCCAGATTCAAGCAATTCTCCTGCCTCAGCCTCCCGAGTAGCTTGAACTACAGGCACACAACACCATGCTTGGCTAATTTTTTTTTTTTTTTTTTTGGTATTTTTAGTAGAGATGGGGTTTCACCATGTTGGCCAGAATGGTCTTGATTACTTGACCTCGTGATCTGCCTGCCTTGGCCTCCCAAAGTGCTGGGATTACAGGCATGAGCCACCGCACCCAGCCAAAGGAGCTCTTAAATAGGATTGACAAGCCTCTATCCTTCCCTCTCTGTTTTGAGCACTTGGGCAAGTCATTTGAATTACCTGATAGACAGTTAACTTGTTTTTAGAATTAATCACTTTTCTTATAATGATAGATTTTTTAAAAATCATGTTAATTATTATTTAGTTACTACATTCTGCATGGTAAATAAAGTGGACTTGCCAAGAGAAGAATATTACAGCTGAAAAACCTTAATTTCATCAGGTTTCTAGAACAGTTTTTAAAACAGGATTGAAAACATTACTATGATTTTATAGTTCTTTACTGTGTATGAGGAAAAGTTGACTACTTGAGTGTTGTTATCAATGTACACTAAACTATATAGTTCAGGGGGATATCAGCACATAAATGGATATTTGGCAGATTTCTTGAGCCGATACTTCTGGTCCTTCTCATTTTAAAGTTCTTAATTAGTTAATCACAGATAATTGAACCAGAAGAGTCTTCTCATGGTGTGCTAAGCCAACACAGATGAACATGGAGCCAGCTGATTTCAGCAGCTCTTCTCTGCATGGTGTGTCTCCGAGACTTAACATTGAAGATGTATACTGTGGGTTACTTTTACCTCAGTTTCTTGTAGTTTACAGCTTCTTCATGTATCATGCCCCAGAGAAAGGCCATCATTTTCCCAGTATGACATACAGTATACAGTTTATATATAGTCTTTTTTGTGGGGAAGCAGTTGGGAAAGAAATTGAGTTTAATGGACCGAGGTAACGTTTAATAACAGGAGATATAAGTTAAATTGACCAGCTGTTGTGTGTCTCTGTGTTTGCAATAATGGAATGTGGGATAGTGAGAAATTTTACACTAATTTTATTCACACTAAACAATTCTAATTGTTTCTTTTTTATAAAATGTGAGATTTGCCTAATTAAGAGGCTGTCCTTTCTAAATTAAATATAAATTTGGCTTTCTTGAAATCTGCTGTTTCGAGTACGTTTGTCTTCATTCAGTATTATTAATGCAGGACAACCTGCTTACATGCATCTAAAGAAAGCATACCTTCTTTCTCTTATGTATAACACAGAGTGGGCAGGGTGTATAAAACTCATCTACATGCTTCTCAGAACATAACACTGCCATGTGCTAAGCCTGCGGAGCTGAGGAAGAAGGTGTTTTTTGATTGATAGCTTTGGCTCACGCTTTGGAGGGAATAGGAAAAGGTATGGATTCTCTGAAATCACAGATGTCCAAGTTCCAAGGACTTTAGGAATTGCCTTATATTGTGTGTCTTAATATTGCACCTCTGCCTTTCTTCCAGTCCAGACTCATCCAAGAGAATCAGCACAATTTCATTAGTAAACGAAGTCACAACTTGGGAATTAATGAGGAGAACTAATTTAAAAAAGGCTACAAGTGGTTCCAAGTGCTCCTGCAGTCATATACACACATACTCCGAGTATACATTCCGAGTTCCAAGAGAAGGCAGAGGTGTGGAGAAGTTATTTGAATTTGTTGGTTCTCAGATATTTTGATCAGGTCAAGCAGTTTTTAAAAATTAAAGAGTGAAGAGAAAGTGATGAACATACCCTTGCTAACTTTTATTCAGTTGTACATTTAAAAGGAAAATCATCACCATAGAGTTATAAATTATAACAAAATATAACATATGTAACAATGTAGCATATATTTAGCTTTATGAAAAACTGATAAATTTCATCACTGGCTGGGTGCATGGTGGCCCATGCCTGTAATCCTATCACTTTGGGAGGCTGAGGATTACATCCCTGTAATCCTAGCACTTTGGAGGCTGAGGCAGGAGGATTGCTTAAGCTCAGGAGTTCAGAACCAGCCTGGCAAAACTACATCTCTACAAAAAATATAAAAATTAGTTGGGCATGGTGGTATACGCCTGTAGTCCAGCTCTTGGGAGGCTGAGGTGGGAGGATCACTTGAGCCTAGGAGGTTCAGGCTGCAGTGAGCCATGATTGCACCACTGCACTCCAGTCTGGGTAATGGAATGAGACCCTATTTCAATTTCAAAAAAAAAAAAAAAAAAAAAAATCATGTAGTTCATGGCCCAGGGTTTAGGAATTGCTAATTGAGTAGTTATAAATCACTTGAACAATAATTTAACAGTATAAACATTAAATTTTAAACTATAGTAGTAGCTTATATCAGCTCTAAGTGAATTCTTGCACAGCTGCAGAAGAGTGTTTTTAATTTATTTTAGGCTCATTAAATAAGCTTTTGGAAAATTTGAACACAAATGAGAAAGCAACCCACCTCAGTTTCTGTAGATACTCACAAAGCTGGGTGGTGCTGTACATTGTCATATTGAGTTATTTACAGTTTTTGTGAGACTGTGGAAGGGATAACTTGAAATCTTGAAGAATGATTTAGGGCCTTGTTACCCAAAGTCTGATACAGGGACTAGTTACGTTAATAGCACTTGGGAGCTGCTGGAATTCAGGCCTCACCCCAGACCTGCTGAATCAGAACCTGCATTTTAACAAGATCCCCAGGTGATTCACATGCATAGCAGGTTTGAGATACTGATTTAGAGTACCTTTCTGAAAACAAGGGTTTCAATTAGGTAACTTTCTCATAGCCTTTGCCTTATCTAATTAACAAGGGTTCCAAGACCAGGATTATTAGAGGAAATGGGTTGTTTAGAATAACAATTAAGACTAGCCTAAAAAAAAAAAAAGTTATATAGAAAGGCCTTGAGACCTGCATTAATGATAATACAGTTTATAATTAGCTTATCAACTAGATATACAGGGGTATATCTAAAGAGCTTGGAAACTGTTTTTAAGTTTTTCTTTTCAATCTTGGTTTTATGTTTAGGAAAACCCAGGTAAAATCATAGATAGAGGAACTTTTTTTTAAGTAGGAAGATATTTTTGGACCAAGTTCTTAACTGTTTTAGAAGTCATGTACTCTACCCCCTCTCTCCCAGCAGTTTGAGTGCACTGTTGAAAGCTAGAATTTTGCCACTCTGGACAACAAATTTTCTCTCCCTCTCCCCGCTTCTCTTTCTCTCCTCTCTCTCTCTCTCTGCATTCCCACCATCTCTCTCATCTTCTTCTCTTTGTCCCCACCCCAGTGCTTTTTTCTTTCTCCTTTTCCTCTTCCCTACCCCTACCCAGGATTGTTTAAGCTGGGTTAAGTTTAAGCTTCTTGAGGACTTGAATGCTTAAAGACTATGGCTCACTTTTAAGATCTAGTTGAAGGGTACAGGTTTAAATTAGTTCAGTATGGTATGATCTGTAAAAAATCACAGTGGGATTTCTGCTAATGGATATTTAAATATATAATCATCTCTTTTATGCTTTCATCCAGGGTTTAATTAATTCTTTGGTAATTAATTAAGAATCCCCTCAAAGTTTGCTTGTAAGCATATTGTTCAGACCAGCGATTAGCTCCTATACTAGAATTGGTTGCCTTGCAGATCTGTGTTATCAGTAGTAAGTACCTCAGTTGCCACTCAGGAGGAAAACTGAATGGAAGACCTGAGCATAGGGAGTCTTCATTTTATACCTTTTCGTGTCTTTTGAATTGAGCTTTTTGATTATTTTACTAATCAAATAAATAATTAAATAAAATTTAAAGAGAAAAGTTTCTAAACTTTTCCACTAAGAGTGTGTGATCTCTGATGCTAAGTTTTGTGAAGGAGGAGAAAACACTAGGTTTGGGTAACATCTTAACAAAAATAAAT